ACAGCTGAAATAAAAGTCAATAAAAATATCATGTGCTGAATTCTTTACATTGTGATTCAAAGGGCTAAGTGGGTCTCTGTAGCAGGGCGCCTTTCAATTTGAATGTACATGATACTCATTGTACAGGTGGGGCTATTGTCCTATAGTTTCGGGAATTGATACAATTGTTCACTTTTGAAGTTATTCTAGGAGGTTCTTCAGAAGACTTATAGGCTATCTTAAGAGAAGCATCTTGGTATTGCAGAAGCAATGGTCGGGTTTATGCTGGGGTGACGTGTACCAGAAGAGAAGAAATACTCTTGAGTAGCAAAAGTATTGGCAGTTGTACCATGGCGATGTGCTGATGTTGAGTGTGGTAGAATGATCCACATAGTTAGGAATATGCAGTGCTACCAGGGAACTGAGGGTGAATTCAAATCCAGGCATTTGTGTGATTTTTTTCCCCCCTATCTTTTGTATATAGCAAAGGAACTACTGTTTTCTGTAAAACTAGCTTTACAGAGTCCAGATATGTTATTAGGATCTGGATGTTAAGAACCACTTGAATGGGTTATTTGTGTTTTGCATTTGTCTTCTGTAGAACCGTGAACATTAGGTATTTCATGTTAATTACAAAATTCTTGTAATGAGCCTCTGACAGAGCTTACTGTACTCTTTGATATACTATGGTTGTGGTTATTGTATACTGGAAAAACTAGAAAAACTAAAGGTACATTCTTACAGGTCTCTTGTTTGTTTCCTGTCTTCCTCAGTCCTGGCTGGATTATTGCTCCTTTTTCTCACTGTATCACATATCTGAAAATTTGACTACTTTATCATTGCCTTTAGGGATATCTCAGTATTTAAAAATAATGAGTTGATAATCTGAGGTCATTGTTTGCCTAAGATGGCCAAAGTCTGTGCCACTGGTACCATCACATTAATCACCCCCTTACCTCTTGACACAAATGATATATTTTCTTTGCCATGACTGCCACCCAGCATATTTGAAGATGGTCTGTGATATTCAGCATCCAGGAATATGTGTTCAGAATTAGTGAGCCACAGTCCATGCACTGGGTGTTGCAGAGACTGGTGACTTTTCTGTCCTGGCCACAGCTCTGGTTTCTTTATCATTCACTGGATCCCTGCATATTTGTTTGCAGACAAAGCTAGCATCAGATAAAATAAGAAAGAAGTTCTATCTTCTGATTTTGATACATCCATTAAATTTTCCCAAATGATGATTTCTGAGAGTTCAAATAAAATAGGTTGTATTATTCATTAGAAGTCAGGATTATTCAGTGTTTTATTGCTCTTGACATTGGGCACCTCTGTTTAGGATTATTTTTAAAATGTCAAGTACATATATTATACAACACAGTTAAATGTAGATATAAATCCACATATAGGGTTTATATTATTTCCTTTAAACACAGATTTTCTAGTGCCTACTATTTTTGTTTGTTTTACTTAGATTACAATATAGGGGAAGGTTGTTGGATATCGAGAAATAGCAGACTGACTAAAGAAGAAAAGCTAACTTAAAAAAAAATGCCTGGTGTCTGTCTCAGAATAGTTTGGGAAAGCAAGCATGCAGGGGTTGTATCCGTGCTACCCTATCGTAGAGCAAAGCATTGCAGTCCTGGAGGCCGTCTTCTAAACAGAGTTGGTCCTTTAGTTCATTCATTGCACTAGTGTCCTTTCCACCTAAAAATTTATGTGTCTGGGAATAAAATCCTAATGGTGAAATTGAGACCTAAAGGAGAGGTGGTACCTGTGGAAAGACCTGTAATAAAATACTCCGCTAATGAATTAACATCCTTTTAAAAGGAACACACTCCTGAAAGTAAGACTGTTTCTTCCCTCTCCTTTGACCTTCATCTAGTCACCAGATTCTTTCCATATTTCCTTCCGGATGGGATGTGTTGCTTTCAAAGCCATGACTCTCTAGAACACTGTTTTGTTTTTCCTGGGACTACACTTGCATACATGCATGCTTCTTCTATTTCTGTGCAGTTGTGTTTCACTGCCTCACTAATCCTTGTAGCTTGCTCCTGCTTGTTCTTCACTGAGCCCTTGGTGCTCCAGTTGAAGTGCAGGGTCCTCACTTGACTTCACTTGAACCACAAGTCTTTTCTTTCTGCTCTTAGTTTCTGTGGCACTCATTCATGACTGCATGGCTCTTTTGACACTGGATATCTTTTGTCCTCAAATGTTCATGTCTCAGTTTAAAACTTAAGTTTTAATTACTGCGTCAAGTGGGTGGCTACCTTTTTAATTTCCACAGCTCTTATTTTAATGTAGTATTGTCTTACATATGGGGCATGTGTTTTGAGTGCAGTCATAACTAATGCAGTCATAGAACTAGAGAGCAAGAGGTGTACTGGAAAAAGGCATGGGTGAATACGACTGTAAGATGGTATATATTCCCCCTTTTCCTCCCTCCAAAGCCTCCAATATGCCTCTCCTTGCTCTTATTTGTTTATGTGCCAAATTGAATTAATCAAGGAATTAATATTTTTTAGACTTTCATTTACATGACATTTTTGTTTTGTTTTGTTGTTGGTTGTTTATATGCATATTCTCTTTGCTTTTACAGTTAGTGCCCTGGAAAAGTTCAAATAGGATTTTACTAGAGCTTCATTGAGTTTGTTGGAAGGAATCAGAAGCTAGGATCAGTAAGAGAAAGGACTTTTAAGGAAAAAAGAATACAAGTAGGATCATTTTCTTACTTAAACTCTAGAAATACGTGGTGTTATTAAAGTAACAACGCAAATCTTTTAAGATCTTATTTAAGGCTAATTGGTATTAGCAGAATTTGATAGGGATATTATCAAGTTCTGGATAGTTTTGTATTTAATGTCAGCAGGAGCTTAGATAAGCCCCAGCGCTCTACTCTGTTAATTAATTAGCAGTAAAGTGAACCAGATACTTCCTCAACAGCAGCCACAGGATCACACAGCAGGAAGATGAACTAGAAAACAGTCTTGCAACATGAAGGACTATGTTCAGGTGCCTGCAGGCGAGCTGGAGAAACCTTATGAATTTACTTCACCAGGGGAGTCATCCACATGTCTTTACCTGAGTAGGTCAAGTGATTTTATCTTATATGTTCTTGCCATGTTTATAAATACGGTATTCTCTTATTTGAATATTTAGAATAATTACTTCTGTAAATTTTATTGACACAGCTGTTTTTTTTACTATATATTGCTTTTTATGAAATTGAGTAAGTTGAAATTTTTGAGCTAATTTTCTATGTCTTCGTGTGTGTGTGTGTGTGTGTGTGTGCACGCGCGCGCGTCTATACACGCTCATCTCTATAAATAGTTAGAGAGTGCTTGCTTGTTTGATGGTCTCACTTTACTGCAGACCAGAACTCAAGCTTTATACTGATTTTTTTGACCTGTGCTGAACACCAAGTTGACACTTGGTAAATAGCACATACCTCATAAAGAATTTGAGATAAGCTAGGTGGTGGTGGTGTGTGCCTTTAATCCCAGTACTCTGGAGGCAGAGGCAGGCAGATCTCTGTGTGTTTGAGGCCAGCCTGGTCTACAGAGTGAGTTTCAAGGACAGGCTCCAACCAAAAAAAAAAAAAAAAAAGAATTTGAGATCTTCAAAAATTGCTTCCTGATAAAATTGCAAAGATTCTGCTTACTAAGTAACTTTTCTTCTATTTCAAGTGTTCTCCTGTACTTGACATTGTTTCCAAACCCAAGTAAATTCAGTGACATAGACTTTCTACCTCAGCTCATAAATCATGGGAATTCTTTTATCTCAGGGCCACTATTCTTATGAAGTTATTGGTATTCAGGGTAAGAAAACTGATTGATCCATCCAATTCACAGTTCTTTCCAAGTAGCTGACATGGCCTTACCCAGGACATGTATCTATTCATATAAGAATTGGCGTGAAGTCTTCTAGGTCATTTAGGCCTTTTTCTGTTTATTAGTCTTTTTCTGTGAAGGTTTATAAGACAGACGTATTGTTTATTTGTTGCAGATTCTCCAATCTTTGTTCCATTTGCTTTGTAATTTCAAAGTTCATCTATTTTTGACATATTTTCACAGTCTAGAATATATCCATTTTAAAATTAAACTATTTTAGAATATGCCAAGTTTGTGAAGTATAAAGAATGGTTAGTAACAGGGAGGATATAGGTTTGAAGGATATTATAAAACATTAGGGCATTTTTATATATTTAGTCAGTTATCAATGAACTCTTGAAAGCATCAGTGTAATGATATTGCTAAAAATGAGCTATAAATACCATCCCTGTGTTGGAGCCACGTCAGCTACTTGGAAAGAACGAGACTGGGAAACCTGCAAGGAAGTCGTGGGAAAAGGTACAGGTAGATGTGACTTCCTAACGAGGTGACAGAAGTAGAAAGTACAGCGACAAAGGCATTGTTGAGGTAGAGGCACACGGTCATTCAACAGATACCTCAGTGCCTACTGTGTCTTGTTCCAGTTGCTTGGGATTTATCATTGAGCAAAAGAATAATTTCTGCCTTCATCTGAGCTTGTATCCTGGTGAAGGGGGGCTAATGATAACCAATAAGCACACTGGGTAAGTTATTTAGTATGTTAGGTGGTAAGTTCTTTTAGCAAAAGGAAGTAGAAGAGAGAACGGGTTGTTCTAGGCAGAGGAAACAGGAGAGGCTCCTCACTTGCTGGAATAGCAGGGTCACTGTTACGACTGTAGTAAAGTGCAGATGAGACACAAAGGTAGAGAATAAAGGTAAAGGCAGATGTGCCCATGAATTTACTTAACAGAACAAATTTGATGTGTGTGGGGGGCAGTTGCTTATTGTTCGTGCAGTCTTAGCCAACTGCTGTTTTTAGAAGAGGGAGAAAAGTTAACTTCCTTATTTTTGAATTTGCATGCCTTTTCACTTACTGGCAGTTTAAACTTATCTTTAAATGGACAGTGAGTATCTGGAAACATGAATTACTGGGTCATTTTATGATATTAATCTTTATACTCTTTTTTTTTAAAAAAAAAAAAAAAACAGGAGTGTGTTGCTGCTGCTCTGCTTTGCGTCCTCGCTACAAACGCCTGGTGGACAACATATTCCCTGAAGATCCAAAAGTAATTTTGATCTCCATCTACTGATCCTTCTCTTTGCTGACCCATTCTGCCCCTGCTGACCTCCCTAAGGTTTCCCTCATTTCATTTCTCTTTCATCCCCATGTATCATCACGTGAACTATTATACTTTTCTTAGTTTTCATATGACTCTTGCTCACTTCTCTTTTTCAGATGTTAGCTACAAAGCTGAAATGGTAGATACATGGTGTCCTTTTTCATTTAGATAGTTTAGTAACACTTATCAAACACTTAAGATCATGTGCCATATAGTGTGTACTCAGGATGCAACTGTGAACACCGAATGGTTTCTGCATTCAATAAGCATATAGATAGAATACCAGCAATTTTAATATACGGAGGAAAATGTGATAAGGAAATGAAGTGAGGGATGTAGCTTGAATAGATCAGAACGATGGCCATTTTGTGATTAGGCGAAGAAGGCAAAGGAAATGAAGTCTAACACTTTCTCCAACATGCCCTCTTTTAGCTCATGGTGCTTATCTTCACTGTTGTATTTTAGCATATTGTCATCTCATTCATAAATACTGAGTGAGTGCCAACTACATGCCAGGCACTATGACAAACATCACAGAAGCCATGCTCGGCAAAGAACTGTATTTGCTCAGTGTAACAAAGTTCATGAGAACTGAGACAGGTCCTACCATGAGCTAAAAGATGTTCCTCACAATAGAAAAATCCCTCCAGAGAGTTTGTGGAGGGCATGTTGGGGAAAGTATGTGAAAGGTGTTTAAATAAAGCTGAGAGCTAGAGGAAAGGACCTGTACTACTAGGCAGTAAGCCAAGCCGAAGAAATCATGACCAGCAGAATTGCAATCTGATTGCAGAGTAGCAGATTTTAGCAAAATAAAGTGCAATATATGCTTGTGTGTCTTCACTGAAGAGGCAGCCAGAGGCTGTCAGGTAGCCACATAGAAAAATTATTAATTGTAGATTCATCATCTAGCCTATTTTCCCATCTTCCTTTTCACCCCATCCAATAGATGTAAGCATAGTTACTTAGACTATACCTGGCAAGAAATTGAGGGTGATGGTTGATTCACTTACAATAAGATAAGAAGGATCATTGAGCTGTGTGTGGTGGTGCCACCATTAGTCCCAGTATTTGAAAGCAGAGGCAGGCAGATTTCAGTGAGTTCAAGGTGTGCCTGGTCTAGGTGGTGCATAACACAACATTCAGGGCTATGTAGAGACCCTGTCTCAAAAAACAAACAAGAGAACCATTGGAATCATCTTTAGAAGATAAAGACTTATTAACACACATTACAAATGTGTTATTGATACTAATTAAACACAATTCTGAATATGCTTTAATTGATAAATTACAGTGGATTTTTATGATACTAGCAAATTTTGAATAGTAGAAAGCTGTTTGTAGGGGTTTACTAGGCAAGCTTTGGGTTCAGTCCTCAGCTCTGGAGATGAGGAAAAAGCTATATGTATGTTCACTGTTGTAGATATAAAGCACAAATTACATACAACATCCAGTGCATTTAAATTGAAGCACGTTTGTTTGAAAAACTTTTAGTAAAACATATTTTATTGTCTTACATACTGACAGCTACTTCTCTATAAATGAAAGTTCTAGAGGCAGTTATTGTTTTTGAAGGTCCTTTAAGCACTTTGCCTTAGCAGGATATTTTTTTAGCTTTTAAAATGTCCTGTTCACATAGATTTTAATATTAGCACCAAAGAGTTTATACCCAGACAGTTTTGGTAGAAATGTGGACTAATTTACAGTCCTCAAAGATGAGATGTAAACCAGGCAACACTTGGAATGAACAGATGAATAAATAAATAAATAAACAAACAAATAAGATTATAGATTGTGTATTCCTTGTTATTGTTTTCAGGATGGCCTTGTTAAAGCTGATATGGAGAAACTGACATTTTATGCAGTGTCTGCACCAGAGAAGCTTGATCGAATAGGTGCCTATCTGGCAGAAAGGCTGAGCAGGGATGTTGTCAGGCATCGTTCTGGGTAAGAACACTAAGTACGGCTAATAATCTCTTATCTTTGGAACTTATTTCTAGGTGAAGTTGTCTTGTAAATTTTTGCACCAGGTAGTCAGATAAAAACAATATACAGAGGATAAAACCTTGCAACAATATGCAAAGAAAAGCATGAGACCCTGTAGTTGCTGCAGCTTCTTTCTCCTGTGATCATGTTTTATGCAGGGACTCGTTTTATGAACCATTGCTGCTAGCTATAGCATTTATCAGTTTTGTTAGCTTCTAGTGGAAAATAGTTTTAAAGGTGTGATACTGTGTTTAAAAAATCTGTGTCTAAATTGAAAACAAACCAGTATCTGTTATCAGGTGGTTTTGACACAGCTTCAGCCTTTCCTTTTAGAGGAGTGAAGGTGAGTTGTGTCAGGCTGAGATTGTGGTGTCCAGAATAGGGAATGTCCTGTCGGTTCCTGTGCCTGTTGATAAAGGAGTCCCATCTTAACCATTCTCTACTTAGAAAAGTTAGAGTTTTGGAGTTTGTATTGAAAATACTTCCTATTGTGACATTTTATCACCCTGGTTTTTTAGAGTACTCTATTCTCCAAGTGACACATTGGCTTGTTGTACCTCTGCTTTGTCACTTCTTAGGACATGTCAGTGGTTTTGTACAGATAGTTTGACAGTTGATTATTAAAAGTTAACTAAAATGGAATCTAAATTTTATTATATAAAATCTTTTAAACTTGTTTTATAAAGTGAATTTTATTGAGATATTCCCTTATATTGATTTGTTGTTGCTGGCACTATTTTATCTATGAGTATAATTTATAAATATTCTGTTTACAAATATAAGTAAAATATGTTGCAGATAGAGAGATGAATTGTTGTAATAAATATTTAGAATATATACAAATAAATATGGTTAAAAGCATGAAAAGTGTTCATGGTGTCCAAGGCAGATTACACAAAGGTAGTGTAGCTTGATGTTTCAGGAGGAAGTAGAGTAGTGCAGTCTAGCTTTGGTGTACTTCTCCTTTAGGACTTGTATATCTAAAACTCGGTTTTACTTAGTTTACTTTGCCTTTTTATGTTCTGTGCATCTAATTAAGCCTAATTATTCTGGTGAAAAGAACACAGAGGATTTAAGAGTGCTGGACATTTTTGACATTGTTTTTTTTCTTGAATTTAGATATGTTCTAATTGCTATGGAAGCGTTGGACCAGCTTCTTATGGCCTGCCATTCTCAGAGCATCAAGCCATTTGTAGAAAGCTTCCTTCATATGGTAGCAAAGCTCCTGGAATCAGGGGAACCAAAGCTTCAAGTTCTTGGAACAAATTCAGTAAGCTAAGCTATTGTTTTCTTATTAAGTTTAATCAGTGCATCTAGAATTAATCTTTTCTTAGAATGACTATTTGATCGAAGGCAATTTCCCAGTCTGGGCATTTGGACAACTAGTACAGAAGGCAGTGATTAACATACACTGTCTCTGGTGTTGTTTGTTGTTCTTCAGAGAATCTGTGATTATTAATCTATTGTCGTGGAACACTTGCCTCTCAATGAGTCTATTCCTGTCTTTTTTATTTTCTCTGACTTAACCATTACAGTGCTTAATTTGTATACTACTGTTTTACTTTACTGCTTTCCCAAAAGCAAGAGCTTTATTGAGCAATGTCTGATTTATCAGTAACAGTTATGCAATTATCATATGACTCGACAATTATGCTGCTTAGCTTATATCACCAGGGTGGAAAATCTATGTCTACACATAGACTTGTAAACCAATGTGCATAATAGCCAAAAAGTGAAAAAAACCTTCTTTTGTCCATGTTTAGATGAATAGATAAATTAGAATGTAGTGTGGTGTTTTATTGTGGTTTTGTTTTTGCTTTTTTGTTGTTGTTGTTGCTTTGTTTGTTTGTTTCCCTTAAAGCTTCTTAGCATTATAAGCTTTCTACGTGTCTCTAGATCAATGTCTATCCAAATCCTTATTTTTTAAAATTCTTCATCTGTTCTTAATACAAGTATTTTATCAGATATGTGACTTGCAGTATTTTTCCCTAGTTCTTTAGTTTGTTTTATACCTTATTGATGGTTTGCTTTGAGTCACTGAAGTTTTTAATTTTGATGAAGTTTAGATTTTTTTTCTTTTTTTTTTTCTTATGTGCTTTTAATATTTTTTATAAGAAATTATTGCCTAATCCATAGTCTTGGATTTGCCCCTAAGATTTCTTCTAAGGCTTTTATAGTTCAGTTCTGTTATCTACTTCAAGTTATTTTCATATGGTTGCATTTAAGTTAGGGGTTCTATATTATGTGTATATTCACTCAGATAGCCCACTATTGTTTGGGGTATCTTTTTCTCTCTAGTACTTGGCTATGAAACCAACATTTGTGTTTACCTCCTCAACACTTCTGAATTAACTACTCACTACATTTTTTTAAAACATAGTTTTTAAATAAAAATGGAAAATAGCATGCTGTGATAATAAAAATAAGTTAAGTTTTAGTCTTTCATTTCTGCTTTCATTTTATATTTTCAGTCTTTCTGAGGAAGCTTTAAGTTATTCAGCCTATGTGAATATTTTATATTCTTACCCATAGTGTCCTAAAAGCTACCAGAATTTCATGACTTGTTATTTAGACATGGTCTTAATTACAGTTCTATTGATGTCAAGAGACACTGTGACTAAGGCAGTTTATAGGAGAAAGTATTTAATTGGGGGCTTTCTTATAGTTTTAGAGATTAGTCCATGATTATCATGGCAGGAAGCCAACAGGCATGGCCGTGGAGCAGTAGCTGAGACCTTTATATCCTGATCCACAGGCAACAGACCTGGGCTTTTGAAACATCAAAGCCCACCCCAAGTTACACACCTCCTCCAACAAGGCCACACCTCAAACAAAGCTTTACTACCTAATCTTTCCCAACAGTTTTCTAACCAGGGACTAAGCATTCAAACATGAGTCTGTGGGGAACCATTCTCATTCAAACCGCCACAGGTATAAGTTCAGATAAAAGAAGAGGTGATGTAGGTTGGGACGCACTGTGGATCTTTGTCCAGTTGGCCTTGTGTTGCATGTGCTAGCCTTGTATTCTTTGCAGCTTAGCTAACCTTTATCTCAGTTTCTCATCTAGGAAATGAAAACTCAGTTTTGTCTGATGAGGCCTCTGGGTGTATGGCATATCAGTACAAACGTTAGAATATGTAATAGTATAATTCATTCAAAACCCCATCATGATTTTGTCCTTTTGTCTCAGGGATAAATAGTGGGTATTTCCAGATGCAGTTGGTGACATGATGGGTTTAGTTTTGGCCATGATAGCTCCTAGAGGTTTCTCCTATTTCCTTTACAATTAGATGAAAAGTTTAGGGGAAATGGCTTAATAGCTAGAGGGAGGGCCACCGTGTGAGTTCCCAGAAGTTTCTTTACTTGTAGCCAGCAATGCCATTAGTATTACATTAATGAGTCATTTGGGCAAAAGACAAAAACCCTCCTAACCCACCTTTAGTGTATATTAAATCAAATCATCTTGAAAGTCTAATTTTAATTTTGGAGTGGTGTTTAGTATGTTATATCATCAAATATGATGGATGTTGATTTATTATTTTCAATATTTATTTATGATATTTGTATATTTTATTCTAATTTGTGGCATTTATCTCTTTATGATAATGATCCAGTATGGCAATTATAGACAAAATTTACTTAGGTTCTCCTTTTTGTCAGAAATTATGCTAGGAAAAAAAAAAAGACATGAAGTTGGGAGTGGGTATAGGGGAGAATTAGAGGTGAATCTTGGAGGAGTGAATGGAGAATGTGATTAAAATATATCTAATTCATATAAAATTCTCAAAGAATTAATAAAATTTATTAATCACTTTAAATCAAAAAAGAAATTATATCAGAAACTTATTCTTACTCCTTTTTGCTGTAAATCACTTCAAAAATAAGTATAGTTATTTAATTATACCCATATATACATTGTTTCAAAAAATGTTTTAAAATATTCATAAAATAATTTTAAATAGATACACTTTAAACATTCCTAATCAGAAATCTGAAATGCTCCAGAACCTTCAACTTTTTGAGCTCCATGTTAGGATTTTCAGATTAAGGATGTTCTATGGTAAAGTTAAACAAATACCGTATGCATTCAGTGCAAATATTCTGAGATCTGAAACATTCAGGTTCCAAAGCTGAGTAAAGAATAACTTTGTGATCAGGCCTGGAGAGATGGGCTAGTGGATAATAATGCATACTGCACAAGTAAAAGGATTGAAGTCCAAATCCCTAAAGCCCATATAACAAGCCTGGTAAGGTCTCGTGTGCCTGGAATCACAGTGCTGGACAGGGCTATAATAGGAGGCTTTCCTTGTGGCTTACTGGCTGCCAGCCTTGCTCCAAATTTAGTGAAGAGTCTGCCTGCAGAAAACAGACAGAGGGTGATAGGACACCGCACCCACACAGACACTCTCCCCTGGCCTTCATGCACACACATGGTTTCGTTTACATACACAAACAGGAAAAAAAAACTAGAGCATAGTTTGTTAAACATAGGTACATAATAGTTATGAATGTCAACACTTTGCAGCATTGGTTCAAGTTTATTTTGTTTGTTCTTTTAGATAAACAATATGGTGTATACTAGGCTCTTTAAATATATTACAGAATTTAGTTCAAATTAGGAAATAATATTCCTTTTTTATGTGTGAGGAATTCCAGTCAAGCACAAAAAGAATGTGGTACCCGTAGGAGGAGTCAGTTCTAGTTCTTGCTCCAGAACTTGTGTTTATAAAATCTGTGTTATAAAAGTGTCCCATCAGTTTTGTGTATTGTGCCTCAGGGAAAGTGTAGATCATTTTCATGTTTTTGCTTGGCTGACCCTTGCCACTATTTCATCCCTCATCTCTAATCTTAATCATTTTTTTGAATACTGTTGAAGGATATCCAGAGAGAATAGTCAGTGAAATTAGTCATTACAGTAAAACACTGGCCCTCAACAAGGGACATGCTTCCTTCCTTTCTCTCCTCCCATGTTTGACAAGTGTTTGAAAGCATTTTGGTTTGTTGTACAGTGGAGACAGAAGTTTAGGTGTAATCCAGGAGATAGAAACAAAGCTCAATATTCTGCAGTCTCTGGAGAAGGTCCTGCAGCAGAAGCTTTATCCAGCCCCTAATTTTAACAGTGTTTAAAATGAGAAATCCTACATCTAAAGTACAGCTGCTACTACCTTAATTACACCTTTTGAAACACATCTATTTCCTGTTTTAAATTTTATGATTTATCTGCTTCAGTTTTTTTATTACTGTATGGTATATGTATGTGTGGAGGCATATGAATGTGTGTATGAGTTTCCACACCCATGCATGTGGAGGAGAGAGTTAGACATGACTGTCTTTCTCTAGTCTTCACTCCATTTTAGAATTAGCCCAAGAGAGCTTCAGGTTTGAAGAATTAGAGTGTCTGTGAGCGGGGGAGGTTCCTCTGGAATGGCCTCATGTTTTATATTCAGTTCTTTATACTCAAGGGCAATTGGAGCTGCCTGCAATAAACGGTTACTTAGATTATCATTGTATGTGTAACTTTCAATAAATAATGAAAGATTGAAAGTTTATCTTCTGAAACGTCTCCCTTATATTTAAGGAAGGTCTGAGTGTCCATTTTCATTTTCAATCTCTTCTGTTATAAAAGTATTATATTTATAATAGCAAATTTGAAAAATGCAAAAAAGTGTAAACGTAAATTCCTCAGGAAATTAACCGGGTTGCAAGGCTCTATTGATTTAGAAAGTTGTATTATCAGTTTCCCAAAAGTCCATTATTACAAAATCTGTTCTGTACATATGCAGTATGTGGTGTTCCATGTGTTCCATTTGCTCGTTAGTGTAATAGATAAAGAGGATAAATGTGTTTACATACTTTTAAAAAGTGACATATATTGTTTGTATTGTTATTTTTGTTTTTTAGTTTGTCAAATTTGCAAATATTGAAGAAGATACACCATCCTATCATAGACGTTATGACTTCTTTGTATCTCGATTCAGTACCATGTGTCATTCCTGTCATAATGATCCAGAAATACGAACTGAGTATGTACTGTTTTACTTCATGACTTCTCTTAAGTAATTAATAGTAGAAGTTTTTGGATATTGTGCTTCTATACTAGATAATGATCATCAAAAGGTATGAGCGATGCTCATGAAGTATTTTTCCGTTGTGGTTAGAACATAGAGCATTCTGCTGAAGTTTCAAGATGAGAGTGGTTGAAATTCAGAATCCTTACTTTTGCCACGAATGTCCCATCATCCATCCTGCCTCGGTTTCTGTCATCCTTTCATTTTCTCCTATTTTCTTTATCTCAGCCAAATGGATCTCCTTGCTGTCCCTTGAACCCGCTAGGCATGCTACTCTTAAGGGCATTTAAAAAGATAAGTTCCCAGTCTAGGGCAGTTTCCAGGGACTCCTGAGTCAACGTATTTGGGGTTTCCTCACTTTACTCAAGGTTCTCCCCATCCTACCTCCTAGTTATTCCTTATCTCTTCATTTTTTATTCTGATTTTTTGTTTGTTTGTTTGTTTTTAATTCAGGACCTCTGTGCAATCCTGGTCATTCTGGAACTTGCTGTGTAGACCAGGCTAGCCACAAACTCACAGTGATCCTGTCTCTGCCTTCTGAGTGCTGAGGTTAAAGGTTTGCACCACCACTCCTATGCGCCTTCTTCTTCTTATTAGAGAGCAGTGCAGGAGGGCAAGGGCTTTGTTCTGAGGACTTCTACATCACTAGGCACTTTCACAAGTGTCCTGCTCATAGTGGACTCCCGCTATGTACTTGTACTTTTTGAATGCATATTACTGAATTTTTGTCACTTTGAGGTTGTCCAGACAGCTGAGATGCACAATAAAAGTTTATAGTTTCAATTAGTAAAAATCTAGACTGTGATCTCAAATATAGGTCATTTCTATATAGAAACAAAAGGCTTTTAGTTAAACTCAAAATAATGTTGATAAATAATACTAGTTTGAGCATTACTGTAACCTAATTCAGAATGATTGGGGGAATTAGGTAATGAAGTCATTATGTTCTCTTTGAAGCAAGCAGTGTACAGAATTGTAACCAGGAATTTGCAGGCCCCCAACTGCACAGTGAAAGCAAGTATGGAGTTATCTGTCTTTGAAGAAGGAAGGCTGAGGAGAGACTTTAACAGTTGGTTTTTCAGATGTGATTTGCCTAACTCTGTAATTCTCCCTCAATATGATCTATGGTATTTGGAGTCTTGCTGTATATCACTATGTGATATCTTAGACAGAAGGATACTGTAATTGCCATATATCTTCCTGGCCATGTCATCAGTACTAAAATGTTATTTCCTAAGGGACATTTTAATAGTGACTTTGAATGTTTTTGATGATAATATAAGAAAATGTATTTTTTTTATTTTATTGAGAAAAAGAAAAAAAAAGTTTCAGCCTCCTCCCAGCCTCCCACTTCCCTCCCCCTCCTCCTACTCTTCTTCCCCTCCCCCCACTCCTCTCCCCCTCCCTCTCCAGTCCAAAGAGCAGTCAGGGTTCCCTGCCCTATGGAAAGTCTAAGGTCCTCCCCGCTCCGTCCATGTCTAGGAAGGTGAACATCCAAACTGGCTAGGCTCCCACAAAGCCAGAACATGAAGTAGGATCAAAACCCCGTGCCATTGTCCTTGGCTTCTCATCAGCCCTCATTGCTCGCCATGTTCAGAGAGTCTGGTTTTATCTCATGCTTTTTCGGTCATAGTCCAGCTGGCCTTGCTGAGCTCCCAATAGATCAGCCCCACTGTCTCAGTGGGTGGGTGCACCCCTCGTGGTCCTGACTTCCTTGCTCATCTTCTCCCTCCTTCTGCTCCTCATTGGGACCTTGGGAGCTCATTCCAGTGCTCCAGTGTGGGTCTCTGTCTCTATCTCCATCCATCCCCAGATGAAGGTTCTATGGTGATATGAAAGATATTCGTCAGTATTGCTATAGGATAGGGTCATTTCAGGTTCCCTATCCTCATCTGCCCAAGGAACTAACTGGGGACATCGCCTTGGGCTCCTGGGAGCCACTCTAGGTTCAAATCTCTTGCCAACCCTAAGGTGGCTCCCTTAACTAAGAATTGTGCTTCCGTACTCCCCTATCCAACCTTCCTTTATCCCAATCATCCTGTTTCCCCAAGTTCCCCCCCTCCTCCCCTTCTCACTTTTCTCTCCCCATCTCCCCTTACCCCCATCGCACCCGCCCCCAAGATCCCAATTTTCTCCCTGGCGATTTTGTCTACTTCCCATATCCAAGAGGATAACTATATGTTTTTCCTTGGGTTCACTTTCTTATTTAGCTTCTTTAGGTTCACCAATTGACCCTTATTTATTGCTAGAAACCAGTTATGAGTGAGTACATCCCCTGTTCATCTTTTTGGGTTTGGGTTACCTCACTCAGGATAGTGTATTTGAGTGAGAAATTCAAATGCAAGATTACCTTATTTTTAGGTATTTATTGCCCCCTAGTGGAAAACTTTGTCTTTTGGTCATACCTTCAGATTTTCTATTTTTAATATTTTAAGTATACACATAAGATGTTATTAAATTAATTAAATTTTTCTTACTGTATTCCCCCTCCTCTCTCTTCCCTCCAGTTTCCACCCACCTCTCAAAATCATTGCCTTTTTCTTTTCTCTGCCTCCATTTTTGGGTTTTGTTTTTTTTGGGGTTTTTTTTTTTTTTTTTTTTTTTTGGTTTTTCGAGAAGGGGTTTCTCTGTGTAGCCCTGGCTATCCTGGAACTTGCTCTGTAGACCAGGTTGGCTTCCACCTCACAGAGATCCACCTACTTCTGCCTCCTGAGTGCTGGGATTAAAACCATGCACCACCACTGCTCAGCAAGGCCTCTTTTCTTTAATTGTGATTGTTTTATATTTGTGTGTGTGTACATAACCTGCTGAGTCCATTTAATGTTGATTATGTGTATTTTTTAAAGACTGACTAATTGGGGGAATCATCTTCCTTTCAGCCTTCATTAATTGACTGTAGCTCTTTAAGGATGGGACCCTGTGCACACTGACATTAACTGGTGCTGTCATTGTTCAGGTCTTCTTTAGGAAGCCATATTGTGATTTCCTAGGTACACCTTCCCTGTGTCATATTGAAGACACAATTTAATAGCAGGCATCCTGGATCCTGGTTCCTCTATCTCTTACCATTTTTGTCCCCCTTCTTTGATATTCCTTAAGCCTTAGGTGTTGGAATTATGCTGTAGATTTTTTGAAATATTTTATATGCAGATGCAAGTGTTTGTAATACTTTTTCATACTTCTGGATCTTTCATGTGTGTGTGTGTGGGGGGGGGTATCTGAAGTTCGAAATTGCCAACTTTTTATTTCAATTGCTGTGAAACAAACGAGTAAATTAATATTGTTGAAGTTAGGCATACTTTTTTCCTGTTGTTACTTGAATAAATGTCTATTTGTTCAGGTTATTTACATTTCCTTTTAGGTTCTAACTTAGGTTCTTATTTTTTATCCCTTTACATTTTAGTAAAACCCAGTCATACAGAATCTTCAGACTTCGGCAGTAGGAGATGAGGCTCTGAACTATCATCTTCTCCCCCTCCTTACACACCCAGCTTTAATTTTTTTTCTCAAAAAAACAAACAAATACAGCAAAACCCCCCTAAAAACAAGAAAAATTAAAACAGCATCAAAACAAAAAAACTTCACCAATCTGTAATCAAATCCAGATGCACACATGCAAATGCATACACACACACACCAACAACGACAACAACAATAACCAAACTGTGTAGTCCTTTATATATTGGTCAACTGCTTCTGGGCAAGAGGCTTGTACTGGAGAGGTTGATATACTCAGTATCACTCTATTGGAAAAAAACGATTTTCCCTCTCCCTGCAGGTATAAGTGACAGTTTAGTTGTTAACTTTTACCCTAGGGGGCTAGGTTTTCATCCATCCATCCATGCATTTATTCATTTTTTAAGAATATAACAAAAATAATATATAAGGTAAAGCGAAAACTATCATATCAAAGTTGGACAAAACAAACCAACAGACAGAAAAGAGCCCAAGAGAAGGCACAAGTATCAGAGATCCCACTTACTAACACACTTAGGAATCCCATAAAAACTCTAAATTGATTAGCCAGTACTCCCAACTATTTTTTTCTTTCTTTCTTTTTTTTTAGGACTTTCTCTAGCCTTTTTCTTTCTCTCCCAAAGCTAAGTATATTTTTAAACACACTGTAAACCATGTAGAGGGTTTTTTTGGTCTGAATCTGTCTTTACTGTATATGTCTATCTTTTTCTGAGCACATGAGTCTTTAATCTGCTAGTGGCATGACTAGGATTCAAGCTGCAGCTTTGGCAACTGGCTCTGTCCCATTCCTTAGCTTTCTGTGAGTCTAGCTTCCTGGCAGAGGTACTGTCAGGAGCCATGCTTACTGCCACAACTTTGTGCAGTTTTCAAGGCCCATGCCACTACCAAGAAGCCTGCACAGGCTACTCATAAACACCATTGAAGTGTTTGGTGGCAGGGCCTCTTAAAAGAGCTGCAAGATTTTATCACTAATGCTGAGTCAGGAAGCCCTTCTTAAAGAAGCTGTGCTTCTGCATACCTCTAGCAAACAGAGCCCAACAGACAGTGATGCTACCAATAAGCCTTGCTTGACTCTCTTCTTTTGTGTCTAGAATCTCTTCCCAAGTTCTCACAAGTTTAATGTGGATATAGTTGCTGAACATTGGGTACCATTTGTAGATGGAAATTTCTGTCTTGCCTGGTCCCATAGCCATTCAGTTTCAAAGAAACACAGAGGCTTATATTAATTATAAACTGTTTTGGCTTATTAGCTTAGGCTTATTATTAACTAGCTCTTACAACTTAAATTAATCCATAAGTCTTATTTATGTTTAGCCATGTGGCTTGGTACCTTTTCTTAGTAAAACATTCTCATCTTGCTTCCTCTGCGTCTGGCTGATGACTGTGTCACTGCCTTTCCTCTTCCCATAATTTTCCTAGTTTGGTTGCCTTGCCTATACTTCCTGTCTGGCTACTGGCCAATCAGCATTTTATTAAACCAGTATGAATGACAAATCTTTACATTGTACAAGAGCTTTATCACACAGCAGATATCCTTCATCCCTCTGACTTTTATACTCTTTCCACTTTTTCTGAGAGGTTACCTGAGCTTTCAGGGGAGGAATATGATCAAGACACATCAATTATGGCTGTGTGTTCCAAGGTCTCTCACTCTTTACTTGTTATATAAGTGTAATAGAGTATCACTAGGAGTCATTTTATCACTATATTTTTGTTTTGTTTCCTTTTTTTTAAAAAAATATTATTATTTGGTTTTATCCTAGGTGCCTGAGCTATCTAGTTTCAAGTTCTTGCAGTGTTGGGTGTGGGTTCCATCTCCTGTAGTAGGCCTTAAGTCAGATCTGTTATTGGTTCTTTATTCCACAAGCTTTGTGCCACCATTGCCCTAGCATATCTTGCAAGTAGTACACTATTGTAAATAAGGGGTTGGTGGCTGCATTAATCCTTTCTTGATGTATTTCTTAGCAGATATGTTGCCGCTTCTTTATCACAATTCAATACAGTTTCTCTACAACTTTCAGCTATAATCGGCATCCTCCTCCTCATCATCATCATCATAGTGACTGACATACAAACAGTGTATCCTTGTTGGGTCTTTACTGTGAGGCAGTTTTTGTTCAGACATGTTATGTGAATTATCATTCAACTATTCCCCACACTCTTAAGCTTACATGATACAAATGTTCAAATTTACTCATGGAAAAAGTACATTGTTTTGGGGATCAAGACTAAAATGTACTACTCAGAACAGGTGTTAGATCTGGATTAAATGCTAACTGTGTAGGTTAAGTGGCTTTTGATCATCACCAACATGCATTAATGCCCTATAACAGAGTCACTACCATCTCCTGCTCCTCTTAGGCTATTGTCCTTTATATAACCTTGAGCTTGTCTTCTTCACCCAGAGAGTGGCATCAGGTATGTATAGCAGACACCCTATATAATGGTGTCTGCTTACTTGTGATATCTTAGTTAGAGTTTGCATTACTACAGTGAAGCACTATGGTCAAAACTAAGTTGGGAAGGAAAGAGTTTATTGATCTTAAACTTCCATATTGCTGTTTGTCTCCAAAGTAAGTCAGGGCAGGAACCTGGAGGCAGAAGCTGATGCAGAGGCCATGGAGGAGTGCTATATTGACTTGCTTCCCATGGCTTGCCCAGCCTGCCTTCTTATAAAACTGGCCAGGGATGGCACTACCCACAATGGGCTGGGTCTACTCACATTGATCACTAATTAAGAAAATGCTTTGTAGCTGTATCTAATGGAGGCATTTTCTCATTTGAGGCTCCTTCCTCTCTGATGACTCTAGCTTGTGTCATTAAAACCATCCAGTAAATGTGATCGGTGTAGTAACCCTAACCCTAACTCTCTCTATAAAGTAAGGAAGCCTGTATAGACAGAGCTTTGAAATAGGCAGAATTTGTCTTTAAATTTTCCACTTCACTTCCTGCTCAGTGTCTTATTCCTGTCACCTCCAGTGTCGCAATCTGCTGCTCTTGAGTGTCTTGTAATATCCCCATAGGTTTGTAAAGTATTGCCACTCCCTTCTAAACATGTTCTCTTCTTTAAACATATTTATTATTTCTGAGAGACAGTGTTAGGTGGGCTGACCAGAACTATAATAGGTGATCATTTCAGGTGGCAGAAAGAAAGGGAGCAATTTAGATTAGGATAAAAGAGGTAATTTAAGGAGAAGAAATACCGTGTAAGAAAGATGGGAAAATTCTACTTGAGTCTTTGTGTCCTTCTGGAGGCTATGAGAATCTAGTCACTTCTCTTTCTTGAACCTACAGTTTTCTTTTTGCCAAGAAGCATGAAGACAACCATGAGGGAATTGGGCTTATGAATTGTGATAGGAGTTTAGGGCAACACTGGTAAATTACAGGTCCTGTGTGCATGTTTGTAAACACAAGTTTTAAATGAAGAAGCTTCCCTTTCTGAGAGGTGAGAGGGTTCTTGGGGCAGAGTGGGCAGAGTGGGCAGAAGCACAGTGCTCACTAGGGGGAGTGAGCACTCAGTTTTGAGCCCTCAAACCAGTAGTTTATTACCATCATGTTATAAGAAGCTAGGCGATTTTATTAGCAGATAAGATATCTAATAGATATTTCTATAGTTTACAGAATTTTAAACTTCACTGATTTATAAAGATGGTGTTGAAAGTCTCTTGAATATATCTTTCAGTGTTCACTTTAGATTTTTTTCTCTTTTCTTTTTAAAACCATTTTATTTTACATACCAATCCCAGTTTTTTCTGCCTCCTTCTCTCCACCCTACCCCCCCCATCCACTCCTCAGAGAGGGTAAGCCCCTCTTCCCATGGGGAGTCAGCAAAGTCTATCACATCACTTGAGGCAGGACCAAGGGCCCCTGTATCTAGGCTGAGCAGGGTATTCCTCCATAGGGAATGGGCTCCAAAGAGCCTGTTCATGCACTAGGGATAAATACTGGTTCCACTGCCAGTGGCCACACAAATTGCCCAAGCCACACAACCATTACCCGCATTCAGAGTTGTAATCAGATTGATAACTACCTTAATTGTCATCATAGAACCTTCATCCAGTAACTTATGGAAGCAGATGCAGAGATCTACAGCTAAGCATTGGGCCGAATTCCTGGAGTCCAGTCATAGAGAGGGAGGAGTGATAATATGAGTAAAGGGACCAAGACCATAGTGAGGAAACCCACAGAAACAGCTGACCCGAGCAAGTGGGAGCTTACTGACTTTAGACTGACAACTGGGAAACCGGCATAAGATTTTTGAGATTTTATTTTCTTACACATATTACATGTTACCTTAAAATATTTTATGGTTGCTAGAGCAATATTGACATACATTCTCTTAGGTAGACAAACAAACTTGTTTTAAATATCTATTTTCATGGATCTTTTTTTCCTCTCATCCTTATAGGATTCGTATTGCTGGGATAAGAGGTATTCAAGGTGTGGTTCGAAAAACAGTTAATGACGAACTTCGGGCTACCATTTGGGAACCACAGCATATGGACAAAATTGTTCCATCCCTTCTGTTTAACATGCAGAAGATAGAAGAAGTTGACAGGTACTGTATAAAGATACTAAAGCTGGGGATGGAGAGATGGCTCAGCAGTTAAGAGGGCATACTCTTCTTGCAAAGGACCTGAGTTCTGTTCTAAGCACCCATTTTGGCCAGCTTGCAGTTATCTATAACTACAGCTCCAGAGGGATCCATCATGGGCATCTGCATTCACGTGCACGTACCCATACATGCACACAGACATTTACATGTAATCAAAAATAAAAATCTTTTCAAAAAAAGAAATCTTTTCAAAAAGATACTAATGGCTGTGTTGCATTGTATATCTATATATTCATGTGCTTGTTTGGATAAGAATGTTTGGTTTCTATCATTATATAAATGTAGTCTCATAATGTTGCATGAGTATAAAAATATGTACCTTTCTCGAAATATATAAATTTGTAATGATCATATTAGCATTGGGAGTCCCAGTTCCTTATTCATACACTTAGGACTTCATTCTCTATTAGAATACATTTAAACTTTGAGCTGGTGAGATGGCTCACAAGGTAAAGGTGCTTGTGACCAAAGCTGATGATCTGAGTTGAATCCCTGAAATGCACATGTTAGAAGGAAAACTGACTCCCACACTTATGCTGTAGCATGTACACGAACACATGCAGGCAAGCATACTACCTAAATAAATGTGATAAATTTTTTAATGAACAAATTATTTGTTGGTTACTATTGGACATGTATATTAACTTTAATTAGTACTGCCTAAATTTAACTATGAGAAGCAGAAATTATAGCTAAACTTCTATTGCTTCTTTCAGATCCAATATGCTTTCTCATAGGGAGTCTAAAATAAAATAATAATAATAATTGCTGTTAATTGTATTTTATTGAAAATAATTTTTATACAGTATATTCTGATCACAGTTTGCCCTCCCTCATCTTTTCCCAGGTTCTTCTAAATTCCGCACTCATATGACCCCATGCTTTCTTTGCGTCTCTCTTTAGAAAACAGACAAACCAGAATAAAACAAAAGAAAACAAACATAAAACAAAAACAAAGGAAAAGCTTGTGGAATACATATACACACAGAGAGACACAAACATGGGCGCGCGCACACACACACACACACAAAAGCCATAAAAAACACAACATCAGAAACCATAATATATAAGCAAAGACCAGTAAGGTGAAAAATACGCAAATAGCAGGGTGATAGTGGCAGCACACACATTAATTCCAGCATTCAGAGGCAGAGGCAGGTGGATCTCTGTGTTTGGGCCAGCTTGATCTACACAGAGAAACCCTGTCTCAAAAAACAAACAATGAAAAGAAAAACAAAACAACAACAACAAAAAAAAAAAACGTAAGCATTATGAGACAAAAAAAAATTCTTCAAAAGTATCATTGAGTTTCTTTTGTCTTGGCCATATACTCCTGGGCATGGGGCCTGCCCTTAAGTGTGGTTTTTATACAAAAAGAGAAAAAGTTTTCCTTTGTATGTTGTTGACACTTGGAGAGATAGCTTTTGTGTTAAGGGATAGGGGCTATGTCCACTTGCCCCACTAAGCAGTGGGATGGAATCTGGTTTGATCTGCGTATTGCCAAGGTCTCTGTGAATTCATATGTGTTGTCAGCCCTGTTTTGTCTGTAAAACATGTTTTTGGTGTCTTCCATCTGCACTGCTTCTTGAGTCCTCAGGGGAAGGGTTTGATGAAACATCTCATTTAGGACTAAGTATTTAGAGGTCTCTTACTCTCAGCATATTGCCCAGTTGTGGGTCTCTGTATTTGACCCCAACCGCTTCAGGGCTAAGCTTCTCTTACAGTGGCAAAGCAAACACTGATATGTTTTCAACCAAAAGCCAGGCACTATTGGTTTTTGATTGATAGCTGTAGATATTTGGGATGAAGTACTGGCTTTGGGTAATGCTGGTTTTCATTTGTCCCCCACAGTATTCAGATGCACTTGCCATTCTGAATGTTTTCTACATTTTTCTAAGTGCAAGAAGCATGCGTCCCCCTATTTTGTTACTTATGCAGGATGAATGTGTTACTGAGCAGCTAATACAGAATTAATTATCCAGGTTGGCTTGGTTCATCTTGGTTCTTGCACTTGGAACAGTCTGAAACAGAATTTAAAAGTATTTTATCTTACAGTTACAAATAATAAAATGTCCTTATAATTTTCATGACCTATGCAAACTATTAAAATGATTTAGAAATGAGGTATAAAATTCTGTACTAACACAGATGGAATAATATGTATTCCAGTTAATGCCAACTGCAGGAAGGATTGATACATAAGTCCAGGATGTGACTATCTCCAGCTTTGTAATTATCCCTGAAAGTGTGAAATGATATATTTTAGAATGTTATGTGGTTTTTTTCTACTTTTAGTGTTGTAACTAAGGCTTAAGATTTTCCTATCTGAAATATAAGAATCTTTACCTAGTTGGGGACCTATTTTTTCCACTGAGACCCAATGTTATCATAAGTAAGATACTAGAAACAAATTGATAATCATTGGCAAATGAAAATTTAGTGTCCTCCTAGTAAGTCTTATTGAGGAAACAAACCACTCTTAAAATAGGCCCTTAAAAGTAGGTGGCTCCCGAAAATGAGCTCAACAGCATTTTTGGAGGTTCCTGTTGCATACTATGTCAGGATGCTTCCTATTTTGAAATTTTATTTTTTATTAATTTTGTCTTTTATACACACACACACACACACACACATTTCTCTCTTTTACCTTACAGGTCCTTTGCATATGCATTATGGCTCCAGTTTCGTGTTTTTATAGAATTCCTTAGTGGACAAACAAGTGGATTTCTGTTTTTTGTGCCTTCTCTGACTCTTTTTCTTCTATTTATTTTGTTCAATTCCAGTGTGTTTGTTTTTGTATTATCTTATTATATGTTATTTATTATCATCCCATAAAAGCTTGTTTTCTAATGAGACACAGGAAAGGTGTGACTCCAGATAAGAAGGGAGGTAGGAGGAGCTGGAAGGAATACAGGGAGCGAAATATTATATGAGAAAAAAAGCATTTTTAGTAAAAGGGAAGAAAATATTGGAAATAGAGACTATGGATACTAAACCATAAATTGTGTCTTTCTGGTATAATTCCACTGCCACAGATGTTTTTTTTTTATTTTTGTTGCAATAAATGTGTTGCCAAAAAGCATAATATCTCAAAATATGGACAAAGCAAATAACTTTTTACTGAAAATGTCTCTATATACAGCTATTCTAATTGGTTTAAATTTTTTCTTTTTTTACACGTGAGTTATATCATGGCTTTTCCATTCTTTTCATTTGTTCTCAGTTATAGTTAAATAGAGGATGGCTAAAGATGTTTTTTTCCAGACCTAGTGCTCACTAGGATATGTATTGCTATGAATGTTGAGAAATTCTATGAAAATGAGCTGTTGAATTTTTTTTTTTTTTTTGAGATAGGGTTTCACTCACTATGTAGCTCATGATGCAGACCAAGTTGGTCTTGAACTTCCAAAGATCCTCCTGCTTCTGTCTGAGTGCTGGGATTAAAGGTGGGTACCACCACACCCAGTCTAAGTGTTTTATTGGCATAAAAGATATTCTTTCTAGGTGAATGTAGACACTCCTTTTGGAAGATTATATGCTTAACTCTTCTGATGCCAAGTTCATAAACATTAGAATTAAGCTTTAATATTAAAATTATTTGAGATCAAAGCAAAATGTCTTTTTAACATTTCTGAGAAGTAAAGTGTTTTCTGTTTATCCTTTAGAACTAAAATAAGAATTGTGACTCTGATCTTTTTTATTTCTCTTTCAGTCGCCTAGGTCCGCCTTCCTCCCCCTCTGTAGCTGACAAAGAAGAGAACCCTGCAGTGCTCGCTGAGAGCTGTTTCAGAGAACTGCTGGGCAGAGCAACTTTCGGAAATATGAATAATGCTGTTAGGCCAGTTTTTGCGTGAGTTCTTCTATTTTCCTGGTTATCTGTGACTTTGCTATGTAGTAGTTGTATAAATTGCTTATGAAGTATAAAAACTTTCCAATTAAATTTTTTCACTTGCCATACCAAATAATGCCTTTTTACATGTCAAGTAACATTGTGAAGGTAGCATTGGGCATTCTATTTTCCTTTTTTTCCCTTTAAGTTTAAAGTATAGTATTAAATTTAATGTTGTGTACTCATGTGCATTGAGAAATTAGACAGTGCCACCATGTGAGACACATTGTTTCTCGCCCTTTCTCCCTCCCTCCTTCCTTCCTTCCTTTCTTCCTTCCTTCCTTCCTTCCTTCCTTCCTCTCCCCCCCCCCCTCCCCAGTTCTAGAAACTGAACCTAGCACCTTCCCAGGAGCTATATCTCTGCACCCAGCTTGCCCCCAGCTTTTTTTTTTTAACCTTGGCTGGGAGCTTTTGATTTTGTTCACTTTACTGAGTGAATTTTGTCTTTTACTCAGAATCTAATCAAGTTAAGAATATTGCAGGCCCCACTGGTCCTTACATGATGTCTTCCAGGTTCTTTGAATAATCAGTATCTTGCAGGCAGGGCTTCCAGGTCTTGTGCTCCTTACTCCATCATTGGATGGTACTGCAGTCTGCTATAACATCCTGTGTAATTGCTGTCCTCTTTAAAATTGAGCTTTCCTTTTTAAAGTTCACCATCATCTTCTTTTCACCCTCTGATTATAATAATCGACTTAACATGTGCATGTATATTTTGTGTGTAACATGCATAAATCTTTACTTAGGGCAGGTGTTTTTACTACATGTTCCAAGTTAACTTTTAAATGCAAGAATCATTAAGTGACAAAATTTATTAAAAATCAAGAGTATCATCAGCTCATCAAAACAACGTGTGATCTTCTTTATCACAGTGGCCTTATGGATATGCTACTAAAAAGTAACCAAATTATGTTACCTCCATTAAAAGGGAATTATTTTGACTTAAATCCAAATATTTAGGCTTAATAATGGAATTTGAGCTAGCTAGCCTGTAAGTCAGATTTTACCACATTATCTGTACTTGAACAATTTAAATTAGGCTTGTGTCTCTCCGCTTTAAATTAAAAAGGTTTTCACATAATATATTTTCATCATGCTTTTTCCTTCTAGATCCTCTCCACCTTTGTACCCACCCAACTTTATGTTCTTTCTCTTTCTTTCAATACAAAGAAAAAAAGATAAAAAGGGAGGGGGAAAAAATCTCTCACAAAAATCAAAATAATCTGAAAATGAGTAAGACCAAAAAAAGTACCCAAACAAAGCAAAACAGAACTAAAGGTCTGCAAAAATACCACTGTTTGTTTTGTGCTGACCAGCTACTCCTGTGCATGGGTTCTGTTCTACAGTGTGGTTTGAGAGCCCCAGTGAGACTACATTGAAGAAAACTACAAAGAGCTTCTTGGTTAAGGGTGGGCTCTCTGCCCACATCTCCCACCCAGTGCTGGGACCCTGTCTGGCTTGAACTTTTCCAGATCTAGTACATGCTGCTGCTGCAGTCTCAGAGTTCATGTGTGCATTAATCTTGTTGTATCGGGAAGACATGGTTTCCTTGTATCTAGAAGACAGTTTTTTTGGAGCTATCCATCACTTCTAGCTTTCAACAGCCTTTCTGCCTCCCCTTCTTCTTAGATCTCTGAGCCCTGGGGGAAGTAGTATGATGAAGATGGTGTCATCTATCACTTATAGCTTTAATAGCCTTTCTGCCTCATCTGGCAACCCTTGTGGAGGAGTAGTTTGATAAAGACTTCTCATTAGGACTGGATGCTCTAAAGTTTCTGATTTTCTGCATATTTTCCTATCTGTGTCTCTGTGTTTATTCCCATGTACTGTAAGAAATTTCCTTGATGTGGATTGAGTAAGGCACTGACCTGTAAGTACAGCAGCATGTCACATAGCAAAATAATAGTAGTAGGTTTTCCCCAAGCCACATGAGCAGTGTCAGGCATGGGTTCCATCTCACAGAATGGGACCTAAGTCTAGTCAAAAGGATTCTGGTGACCTCCATATTGTTAGCTGTGCCTCTTGTGCACCAGTAGATTTTGCGGGTAGCTCTCTATTGCAGGTCTCAAGGTTTGTGGCTAGGTGATAATGATGATTATCTTTTTCCTTTGATAACGTACAGAGTACCTTGAATGCTAGTCAGTAGTGATGAAACTTTTAGTTAGATTCCATCTTGACTTTCTCCATGTTCGATGACCTAAGTAAGTGTTGGCTTCATCAACAGGGCTTTGCTCTATCTAATAGCTATTTAATTAATTATAACTGGATATTGTCTACAGTAAGGTATGGCGTAATTTGGAAATATATGAAAAATATCACCAGATGAAAGATATGCACAATAATTATAGATTATGAGAAAAAGTCAAAAAGTCATCTGTCATTTAAAAATAGAAAATTCATAGCTATCTTGAGTTTGGAGTAATGTTTTTTAAGTTAGTTGTAGGTAAATATAAAAAACTACTTTGGTGATTTTATTTCCAAAGTATATTTTAGTTCACCATTGAAATAGGCTTTTTATTTCAATTGTTACTTGATCCATAAAGAAAATAAAAGATTCCTTAAGAATTTGAAATAGCACATTTTCCTTCAACACTGAGTACAAGACAGCTGGCATGCTGGATGCAGTGAAGGGGTTAGTGTGAAATGAGACGAGAAGACTAAACACCAGAGAAATCCCAACATTTTAAGTCTTTAGGTAATTATTGGCAATCTTAGCTGAAAGTTGTAAAATAGCAAGAATTGCCATTTGAAAATGTTAATGGTCAATGTGTTAGTTGTTATAGGAATAAAGTCCTATATTAGAATGTTTCAGGCCTGAGAGTCACAAACACCATGGACACTTAGTATACTAACAATCAAAGTATACTATTTAATCGCCCTTTGCACTACTGTATGGCCAAGCTTAGCAGTTAGAAATGTGTGCCATAGTTAGGAACGTGGAACCCTTGATTTTCGTTTAGAAAGTTTTCTGATTTTTATATTGTTGAAGGTTTTAAAAGAAGGTGTTATTAAAAGCCAAGAGTTCTTAATTTCTAATTGTTATTTACAGGCATTTAGATCATCACAAGCTATGGGATCCTAATGAATTTGCAGTTCACTGCTTTAAGATTATAATGTATTCTATTCAGGTAAGGTTTAATGAACTGCTTGTATTAAATAAGTAGTGGAAAACTAGGATACAAAGCATGGTCTTTGTTTTGTTTTGTTGATTTTCTGAGGCAGCGTCTCATTCTGAGGCTCTGAGTATCCTAAAACTGAACTCAGCGATCAGCCTGCCTCTGCCTCCTAAGTGCTGGAATCAAAGGCCAACACCACTGTAGCTGACACATGGCATGTTCTTATATGTATTTTTCTCATTTACTGCTTGTTTTCTTACTTGCCAAGATGAAACATAAGAGGATTAGATAATTTTATTGTGGCACTTTTAGTGCAGTATGAACTCATATATTGTGTGCTTCTACTATACAGTTGATCTGGCATTGGTTTTCTTTTGTGATAGCTTCTGTTCTTTTTAGAATCTTATGAGCACTGTCTTCTACAAAGGACCACCTTAAAATCTGAAAAGATTTGATTAGTTCTTAATTTAAATGTGATTTCATGTCTTCAGTTTTGATTCTTTCACTATGCATTCTTTTTAATATATTATACTATTTTTAGCTAATCCCTTGTAAGTAGGATGAACATGGGTCCTAATTTCCCTAGGAAAGCCTTAATGTGTATAGTTGTTAAAAACTTCCTCACCCTCAGTTACAGAAGTGTCCTGGTCAGCCAGTAAATTAAATACTTTTAAACAAGGCAGACTTAGCTGCATGTGCTTCATGAGGAGCGTGCAGTTTCCCAGGTAAGAAGTTCAATTCTAGCTTGTGCTGGTAGTGATAGTACTAGTGGTGTGTGTGTGTGTGTGTGTGTGTGTGTGTGTGTGTGTATTGAATGTAGGCACATGTGTGCCATGGCATGCATGTAGAAGTCAGAGGACAGCTCTCAATAATCAGTTCTTATCTTTCACTTGTTGAGGCAGGATATCTCTCTGTCTCTCGCCTCTCTCCTCCTGCATGCATATATTTGCATCTCATGCATGCTCAATATCCAGAGAATCTAGAGGTAGACATCAGATCTTTACAAACAGTTGTGAGCTCCCATGTGGGTACTGGGAGCCATACTCTGGAAGAGCAGCCAGTGTACTTAATCCCCGAGCCATCTTTTAAAACACCCCTGCTCCCACCAACAACAACAACTTAAATACAGTATTTGGTAATTTGCTTTCTTTACTCAAGATGTCATAGTTTCCAATATCACTGTTGTTTAAAGCAATGCTTTTGGGGGGGGGGGGAAGCTACATATAATAAATATCAGTTCTCTATAATGAGTACGATGTACCTTTTCATTCTTACAGATATGCCATGTACATTTATTTGCTCACACATCTTTGTGCTATTTGCTTCCCTTAGGCTCAGTATTCTCACCATGTGATCCAGGAAATTCTTGGACACCTTGACTCTTGTAAGAAAGATTCTCCACGGGTTCGAGCAGGTATCATTCAGGTTCTGTTGGAGGCTGTCGCTATTGCTGCTAAAGGTTCTATAGGTGAGTATCAATAAAACACAAAAGGAATGCATTAATAATATGAAGTGTTTTCCCAGTAGTTGTCTGTGAAGCACCATTTAAGATTTCTCTACATATTTTCAAATGTTCTGTAATTTGAGTGTATATAATCAGTTTTTCCTTCTTTTTTTCTCCCCTCTTTCATTTCCTTTCTCTTGTACTACTTTTACAAAGGGTTTAAAATATGATTTATATACTGAACATTGGGTGAATACAGATTTCAAAAGTGATATAAGTTGAACAATTGAACCTTCTTTCTTTTGTAAATGTCGCTAAGTATTCAACTCAGGGCTGTGCACATCCTAGATAAGTGTACTGCTACTGAGTCAGATCCTAGCTGTCTTTATCGTTTTTGAGATAACATTTTACTAAACATTCTAGGCTGGCCTTCATCTCACTATGTTGCTTATGTAGGCCTTCACCTTGAAACTTTCCTGCCTCAGCCTCTGGAGTAGCTGAACTTTCAGTACCACACTACTACACCTGATTCAGGTTCAGATTTCCTAGTGCGAAAGTCCAAAATCTAAAATGCTTCAATGTTGAAATATTCTCAGTGCTGACATGTCTTGGAAGTGGACTCCACTTGTTTTAATGTAGGAACACTAAAAACCTCTTACCATCTTTGTGTATAAGAAGTATAGAAAGCACTGATGAATTTGGTGTTTGTATTTGAATACTGCCTATAAACTATTTTTGTATACATAGTTATTATCAACACACACAGAAACATATACACATGTGTGCAAACATTACAACAGACATTACTGCAAATAATACCAAACATTTGTGACCGCAGCCATTTTGACGAAGGGCTTCTTCCACATTTAGTTTATGTAGACAATTCTTCATAATTCTCAGTTATAAAGAGAGTTTGATCACATGTAGCCTGAGACAATCAGTAATTAAAAAACTGCAGAAATGTAGATTAGCAAAAGCAGAATACTATGTGGCCCATTTTGCTAGAATGTGTGGGAGAAACGAAAGAAGTATCTTTAAAGTTACAGTGCAAGCAAGTCATTCTGCAGTTCATGGAAGCTTCAAAGACTTAGTAGAGATGTACTGCAGTGTAGTACTGGCTGAGAAGAATTGCTTTCATTGTCTTCAGTGTGATGGAAAAAACTCGACCTTGGGCAGCATGCCTGGGAAGCTGGTAGATTGTAGCGGGTAGCAAAGGGAAAAGAACAAGCCCAGTATCTTGCTGTTTCATTCACATGTAGTTAGGGAAATGAGGGAATAAGATAGAGATACAGGGGCCAAAAGTACAAAACAGATGAGTCACCAAAGTGTCTGGATTATATAGGGAAGAGTCTTTTGGGGGAAGGGCAGACCATCCCCTGGGCTGGAGAGGTCAGGGTAGAGGGTGGGATATGCTAATTATACCCTGAAACAGATAGGGACTGAGAGATGCTGGGAGAACCTGGCATCCAGGTCTTTTTCAGTAAGTTAAATAGGTACCTCAGCCATTGGTCTTGGGTTTGAAACTAACAGGTAGAAAGATTCGGATAGTTTATTATGCAGGTTGTACCAAAGCCAAACAAACAGCAGGTTCCTCATAGATACCCAAAATATGCTTGTAGTGTGACTGTGAGACCTTATTGTTTAGTTATACAACTTAAAGAAAAATGAACTGGATAGCTCATAAATTATTAGGTACTGTTAACAGGAAAAGAAAGTAACTGTAAAGTTTGTTTGGAATTTTGAGAGCTGTTCTTGAGGTTACATCTTCACAAAGATGGTCTTTCACAGGGCCAACAGTGCTGGAAGTCTTCAACACCCTGTTGAAACACCTGCGACTCAGTGTGGAGCTGGAAGCCAATGACAGCCAGCAGGGGTCTGTGGGCAGCATCCCCTTAAGTTCCAAGGACAATGATGAGAAGATTGTGCAGAATGCTATCATTCAGACAATAGGTTTGTGTGTCAGTCTGCAAGCCACTGTATGGTGATATGGAAAATGCTCTTGCATAAGCTGTTTGACTTGGGTAGTACACTTGCCAAAGTAGAGTGATGGTCTAGACCTCTAAAAATTGTGTTTGAAGGAAATAAATATAAGAACACAGTTCTTTACCTGTTTACATTGATTGTCCATATTTTATGCAATTCTTTGATTTGTTTTGGTCTTCTCCCCCATCTCTTTATGTACACAAGTTTGTACATGAATATGTATAACTATATGTCTATAAAAGAAGAGAATATTCATATACATGCTTTTAAAAATAAATTGACTGGGCATAGTAAGTGTATATGTCATGGTTTTTTACTACTAAATTCTTTTTTTTTTATTGAAAAAAATTTTCATACAGTATATTCTGATCATCAGAAAAACGAAGTTCAATTCCCAGTACCCACATGGAGACTAACAACCTTATGTAACTTTAAATGCCCTTCTTATATACCAGGCATGCAGGTGGTACCCAGACATACATGTAGGCAAAATGCATATATACACAGAAAATAATTTTAAAAATAGTTTTGGAGTTATATGGAGAATTTGCCACTTTTCAATTTGTGAAATTTGTCATCATGTATTTATAGGATTTTTTGGAAGTAACTTACCAGACTATCAGAGGTCAGAGATTATGATGTTCATCATGGGAAAAGTGCCTGTTTTTGGAACATCAACTCATACTTTGGATATCAGTCAACTAGGGTATGTTCTCAGATGTAAATGAACCGACTATTGGATTACATGTTTTTAAATCAAAAAATGTTGGTATTTTAAAACTTCAGTAATAAAAAGCAACAGTGTTTTCTTTGGTACTAGACCAGTAGGCTATTAAATCAGGGCTATATACTTACATATTTGGATAATTTTTAACTTACAAATTCTCAAATTTTTTAACTCTTTTATTAATGAGGTGGAAGATTTGTTTGACTTGTGCTTTGTGTATGTCTGCACATATGTTGGATGAAATTTCAAGCTTCCTGAAAGCCTTTAAAACATTGTTAATGAATCAGGAATAATGACTTGGGATGGTAATGTTCCCTCTTTATAGATTTGATTTGGTAATATGCTAAAACATTAGCTAATGTGTTAAAATAATCTCATGTCTTATAAATATATATAGCAATTGGATTTTCATCAAAAAAAATGTCTTTAAACTTAAGGAGATGGAAATACTGAGTACCGGATTGGATTGCTGCGTATTTATTCATGTTTAGCATACCATAGCCATCATTCAGTATAGTCAAATAAGTGCAGAAAAGGCACTGTCAGCTGGAGAAAGTACATGGGTGAACATGCTTTCTTAGCAGTAGGTGGGTAAGAGTGGTGGCAGAACTAATAAATAGAAAAGGGGTTGGTTATCAATGGCACAAGGAGTAAAAGTCAACTAAAGGATATTTTCTTCTTATAATAATTATTGTAGTTCTATCCTTTTATGATGAAGAATATGAGAAATTGATATTTGTGTGTAAAATATGATATGCAGATATATGAACTTAGCATTTCCATCTCTAAATGTAATCCCTGTTCACAGAGGACAGTTGGCATTTTCATACATTCTTGGGTCACCACGTCTTGAACTTGGAGGATTTAATCTTTGTATCAACACATCAGTTTGTTCTTGAATACCAATAGTTTGACTTTTCTTGTTTAAATTTTTTAACATTTATCTATTTTAATAAATATAAAATTTATTTTGGTGTATAAAGTGAGTCATGGCATAAGCAGTTATAAAAATATGTAAAATATTTAGCCAATAAGAATAAAGTTTTTAAGTCAGAAAAAGATATTTATGTAGATGAAGTTAATATAAATAAATGTAAATTAGTAATACCAATACTTCATATATTTCAGAGATTTGGGAACCAGGAGGATTCAGATAATGTTGCTGAGATCTTTGCTTATGGTAAGGAGTTTGATAGAAGTGAGGGGAGCATCCCTTAAATACTGAAAAGAGTGTGTCACCGCCAGCTTCAGACTCTGCTGCTTTTCTCTGTGGTTTGTTCACTTGAGTATCTCTCCCTTTATCCTCTGTTCTGCCATTCTTCACTATTCAGTGCTTGCCTGTCCTGTCATTTTGTTTTATCTTTATTATGATCAAGCTCACAGAAGGCAGAAACAACTTCCATCATGTCGGTAGAGATACCTACGCTCAAAGAAGTTAGACGGAAATAATTGAAGAGATCCAGGGTCACACAATAGAATTCAGATAGGAAAACCCATAGTGCCTTCTACATTCTGTTCAGACAGTGGCTTCTTGTTAGTGATTACTTGTCATTTTATATTAGAGTGGGAATAGATACAGAAAAGAAAAACAAAAAAAAAAAGCACAACAGAGGTCCTCTGGAACTATATGCTAAATACACTCATTTTTTTTTCCTTTCTTACCTTTGAATTATACAGTTTCCCCCTCCTCTGCTTGTTTTCAAATTCTCTAATTATTATTGTTATATTATGCAAATATGCACGTAACTGCAACTTGCTGAGTCCTTTTATTGTTGGTTTTAGGTATGACAGCTTAGGGGCTTGTCTCTGGGGAAGATTATTCTCCCTCTCTCAACAGTCTTTAATTCCCTGTAGCTCTTCTTCTGGGGGTGCAGCTTTGTGCGATTTCTCCTATCCATGTTGGTGTGTCATGGTGTTGCCATTCTTCAGGTCTTGATAAAGATACTTCATTTTTGTTTTACTCCTGGGATCATGTCAAGGACAAAGTAGAGACTGGGTCTTTGAAATGTGTACCCTTTTAGCCAGTACGTTCTAAGTTCATTTGAGAGACCTTTTTTGTAAGTGTTATTTCACTCTTTGTTTCATACTCAGGTACAGAAGAATCTGGTTTCAGTTTCAATTCTCTTCCTGGTGCTTGTTATATAGGATTTTAAATTGAGCTACAGCCATATTTATCAATCCCATCCTACTTGTCCTCTTTATTTGTTGTGTCTACCTTAAAATAACATCTTTATAAACCAATGACATAAACACTGTTGATTCACTTTCCTTATAAAATTTTCTAAGGTTTGACTCTAATTCTTTATAGGAAACAAATTTTACAAATATTAATATGCCACCATACTTTTTATACTAATTATATTGTAAGTCAGCTTTGTGCATTCTTCTTTGGTGGGTTTTAAATGTTTAATAGTACTTAAGTATATTCTCCTTCAAAGTTTAAAAATTGGAGAAGTTTTGACCATGAATGTCAAATCGAGTAGCAAAATACAATTTTCCAAACTGAAAATGTGTTACTGTTCCCAGTGGTTTTCTTTAAAATAATAGCTTACAGGGTCAGACTTTCCACCTGCTCTCCCTGTATCTGTCCCATGTCCTTGTATGATACACCCTGCCTATGCCCTGGCTTTCTCTCTGTAAGGGAGAGAGTAGCCTGCCTCGCACAGTGTGGTCAGGACAGAGTTGACAGGCATGCAATTGAGCCTCACATGGGACCACATACCAGATGTGTGATGATCATCTTATTCTTGTTATAAATAATGCTCTTAAAATGCTAAAATCCTGGCTACCATACTGATTTCCTTTATATACTTCCTCAGACTTTTGCCCATAGTTTCTGATTTCCTAAATTTATGATTAAAAAAAAAATAATGTGAGAATTTTGCCTAAGAAGGACTCATGAGAACTTTGTTGATTTTCCCCTCGTAATCAGGTGACTTCTGGATACAAAGCCAAGACAATTGTTACTGCTCTGCCCGGGTCGTTTCTGGACCCTCTGTTATCGCCATCCCTCATGGAAGATTATGAGCTGAGGCAGTTAGTCCTGGAAGTAATGCACAACCTCATGGATCGCCATGACAATAGGGCGAAGCTCCGCGGCATCAGGTGATTCGCTGTGCTTCCTGAGAGCTCTTGGTTTTCTCAGTCACCATGCTGAATTGTGCTTGTGAGCATGCCCGTGTCTGTGTGGGATGTTTAATTGGTATCAATATGATTTTTTAATATGTTTTAAAATAATGTGATGGACTCTCATTCAGTGTGCTCTACAGAGTGCTAATCTAGAAATTATTACTTATATTAATTAAGAACTGTTTTGTTTTAGTTTTACTTTAAGCCTAAGAATGGCACTATGAATGAAGATGATATAATTCTTAGTTAAGCATGGAAATCAAGTAATATCATTTCATATAAACATTTAAAATGTAGATGTGACCAACTGAGTTCAAATGTAATCTCCCACAAAATACAAGGTCTTATAGCCAAACGTGCTATTCATTTAAAGTTGTTGATATATTGTTTCTAGAATTATACCAGATGTCGCTGACTTGAAGATAAAAAGAGAAAAAATTTGTAGACAAGATGCAAGCTTCATGAAAAAGGTAAGGTCATCTTTTTAAAGAGTGTCTGAAATGTATCTTATATCCCTTTAAATGTCAGACGGTTTTATACTGATCTGTGGGCTTAAAAGGAAGCCATAGAATTTGGAGTGAAAGACCTCTCACTGCCAACTTCAGCCTGCCTTATATGACCACAGTACCAACTTTGACTCCTTGAGCCTGTGTTTGGATGTAAGATTGCTAGGCTGCACAGTTGTTTTGAATTTCTCCATTTGAAGGGAATTCCTGCTCTGCCCTCCTTGGGAACCAAATATGCATTCTGGTTTTTCTTAAGTACCTTTTATGTAGACAGAACTGTACTGGAGTTTGTTGCTTGTTAGGTGTTTTTCTGTATACTGTTTGGGAAATGTGTTAGGCATTATGTCTACCTTTAACACATGGGTGAATTTAGGAAACTGGTAAATTGATCAGGCTTCTTGTGTATTTTACTAATCATGCAAAACTTGAGCAGGACATTTCGTTCTATCACCATCTTTAGTGTTTCTGTCTTTGTCATTATGTTGATGATGTGCTTCAATTTAACATTGATTAATTAATCAGATTCCTTCAGTAAACATAATTCTTTTGAGTTCATCTTTATTGTATTCCAGAAACAGGGAAGTAAGGTTTTCTTTGTTTTATTTCTTGGTTTTGAGTATTTCTCAGTATTACCCATTTATCAAATTTGTCCCAAATGCTAAGAAACTTTTAACCATGAATGAGTTTTGAAAACTCAGTTGATAATTTGGAGAGATTTTTTTATAGTATATGATGGTCATAAATGTCCTTCAACTCTAAATCTGGATTCATTTTTTGTTTGTTTCAATAGTCATAGAAGCAATGCTTCTTTCCACTAGACTTCAGCTTCTGTGAGCCATTAGGCTGCTGGACCATGCCGGGTCTGCTATCTTTTAAGATGTTCATAATTATGCTTTGATTTTAAAGTTTTAAATGACTTTGTGCCTCATAGTGTACGGAACCTAGGACAGTCCAGCTGATATTTTGGGAGCATCCTAAATCCTGAAACTGATTTTCCATCAGAGAAGCTTTAGCCTTTAAACTAGGAAACCTCTTTTATTTCCCATTCCTCCTGAGCCTTATGTGGAAAACAGCTGCTCCCATTTTGTTTCCTACCACAGTCCAGTCCACAATTCTCACCTTGCAAAAGTGCTCATGTAATTTAGGAAAAAATTACTGTTTATTTTGAAATGTAAATACATATGCATTGTTATTTTACTTATTTTAAAGTGAACTAAAAGCATCCCCTTTTTAAAGTCCATAGTCTTTCTTAGAGGAAATCACTGGAATTTTTATAATATTATCCAGTTTTGTTAGTTTTTGTATGCTGAATGAAAAGAACAATAAATCATATGTTCTTTTATATTTAATTTTTTCAGTGTAGTGGTGTTTTGGTAAAATTCATCTTATGTGTATTACTATTACAATGTGTGTTGTAATATAATGCAAGTTATTTGTTGGCAGTCATTTGGGCTGGTTCCTGTTGGGCTTCCTCAAACAATGCTGTGCAACCATGCTTGTGTGTGAATTATGCTGTACAATACCCATTTCCCCATGGCAGTCCATATCAGGGATTCTTGAGAATAACTTCAAATGATGCAAATGCGCTAGAGAACACCCGTTTACTTTGTGCAGTCATTGCTCTTTTTTATGCTACGTTGTTAACATACAGAAGTATCTTTTTCTGTATCTTTCAGAATGGGCAGCAGCTATATAGGCACATATATCTGGGCTGCAAAGAGGAAGACAACGTTCAGAAAAACTATGAGCTCCTTTATACATCCCTGGCTCTTATAACTATCGAACTAGCCAATGAAGAGGTGGTTATTGACCTCATTCGATTGGCCATTGCTTTACAGGTATGCTTTATAACTTTCCACTAAAGAAAAAATTCTTTTTAGTGAATTAAATATCACTTATAGCGAGATATGATATTCAAGACCATGGATTTTGAGTGGCAGGGTTTTTGGTTGCATATTCAATTAAAGTGAACAACTCTGTGCTAAGAGCCATTCAAGACCTTTCAGCAGATGATGAAAACAGCAGTCCTGTACCTTTACTTCTGTCCAGGAGATAGGGTGGTCACTAAAATAATTATTATAGGTGTGGCACTGTTTAGTTGGAGTTAAGTGCTATATAACAAAAGGACAATGTGTACTGCGTGTGTGTTTTTTTCAGCTGTCTAAACTTTCTTCAGTTTTCCAGTGTAATCACTGGGAATATGCTGATGGAGTATGAGAACCTGATCTTTCAAATTTATTTTCTACTGAAGGACAGCGCTATTATCAACGAAGATAACCTGCCAATGTTTCATCGGTGTGGAATCATGGCACTGGTTGCAGCATATCTCAACTTTGTGAGTCAGATGATAGCTGTTCCAGCATTCTGCCAGCATGTTCGCAAGGTGAGAGACCTAGAAAGTTCCTAGCCTGAGTTTTGTGTCAAATCAGCTAATTTCTGAAGAGTCATTTTTTTTCTAACATACACACACACATATATACTTATATACACACATCTATATATATTTATATAAATACATATATTTTAATCATTATATGTAATTTAAGGTAAATATATATATATATAATTAGGATAATTTTGCAAAGTAAGATTAAGATAATTCTGAAGAAACATGAGGTACAAAAGTACAGTTGATATTGTCTATTTTGGTTGTTACAGTCTTTGAGGTAATTGTTGAATAGAATACAGTTTTCTTCTCTCCTTTCCACTGAGCAGTTGTGACTTGTTATCTTAAGCTTTCTTCAGTTAAATGTTGTTTGTTTATGTTGTATAAGGCAAAGCTGAAGTTGCAAGATTAATGCTCCTTTTTTAAATTTTATTACCTTTCAGCGGTGTTTAATTTTTTTCAGTGGTCATTCCAGTTACTAACATGATTTCATACATATTTCAGAGTCCTTAATGTGGCAGAAATATGCCACAATTGAAAGCCTTTGTCAAAGAACCCTGTTTTCATGAGATCTTAAAGTACATCATGCTAAAATGTAGGTTTTGGGAGCATTCATAAGAGCAAAACTCATTCATTTTAAACTCATTTATGCATTGTGTATTGTCAGAATGGTGCAGACCCTTTATTGAGACACCCCCCACTGCACCCCAGGGCACTGAGCCCTGAGCACTACTGAGCACACAGTGGGGAGCTTGTGAGGGTTCTAAAAGAGGTCTGCATTGCTTGGCTACTTAAGAAAATGTGTGCTCTGTTTCTTCTTAGGGTGATTTAGCAAATGTAACACATCATTTTTTACTGGCTCGTATACTTTATTATTAAACTTTTAATAGCTGTTGAATTTTTAGTATCATGTGAAAACAGAAGGAACTTAGTTTGAATTCAAAGATATACTCGTGGTGTTTCATGTAAATGCTTAAGGGTTTCTTTTTGGTTTTGCTCTTAGTTATTTTGTAAATGTTCACTACAAGGTCTTAAGAAAAAGATTTTTAATTTCACTTTTGTTTTGTGTTTGCTTGCTTTCAGGTTATTGAAACTCGAACTATGGAAGCCCCTTATTTTCTACCAGAGCATATTTTCAGAGATAAGTGCATGTATGCACATTCTTTATAATTGATGGAAAGGTTGACCATAGAGAGAAGAGTCAATAATAATTACAAAGGAGTAACTATTGTTCTAGGTTTATAATTATAGTAATTGTGTCATTACTGGCATTTAACTCTTACATAATACTTTGACTCTATAGTTGTAGATGATGCATATAGACCTGAAAATGCAAAGTTTATCCCCTTTTAAAATGTGATAATATATTTCTTAATTATAACATTTTGCTCTGTGTGCTCATATAAATGAGCTGTCTTGTAAGAGTATAGTTTTCTTGTTGAAGATTTCTGGTAACATAACAACATGTAAAATTGTGGTACAGAAACAAAAGCAAATTCATATGCTGTACCTTCTTCCTGCTATTCCACAGGAAAATAAATGCACGCTGATAATCCTTTTTTCACACTTGAGCTCTAAGACAGGAAGCTCAGCATTGAAAACACAGGGTAATGACCACAGTGGGAAAAGAGAGGGCACCTCTTGTGACTGGTGTGGCTTGTCTGTCACCATGCTGGTCCTGCGCTTTACATTCACACTCAGCTGTGTTTTCTCTCTCATTACATTTTGCTTAGTGTGAAAATTAAAGACTGAGTCTAGTATTCTTCATCTTATAATGTCCAATAATATCCAGACATCAGCAGAGTGACAGGGCTAAGTTTACTAATGAAGTCTGATTGGGGAAAGAGCCCTAACAACCTAGACTTGGTTACAAAGCGCATAGGCTTGTTTTTCGTCCCCAAGTAACTTGTACTTCTGTCTAAAATATTGAGACCTTTACTGTAGAAGTTGATGCTTAGGAATCAATATCTAATGATTGTTGTTTTTATCAACTTGACAGGCTTCCGAAATCGTTAGAGAAGCACGACAAAAGTTTATATTTTCTGACCAACAAAATTGCAGAGTCCCTTGGTGGAAGCGGGTACAGTGTGGAGAGGCTCTCAGTTCCTTATGTGCCACAGGTGACAGGTATGTTCAGTAATCGTCCTGCCGTGCAATGAGGAGTGAAGGTTAGGTTTGTGGCTATACTAATATACCATGGCTTACTTTTTAAAGGTGACTTTGTATTGTATGTGTGTAAGTGTTGTGCCTGCATTGCCTACATGTGTACCATGTTTGTACAGTGCTCATGCTGGCAAGAAGGCAGCTTTGGAACCTCCGGACCTTTTGTGGGTGCCGAAAACGGAGCTCAGGCCCTCTGCAGAGCAGTTAGTGCTTTTAGCCATGAGCCAGCTCCCAGCCCCTCATTAGTTGTTTTGATTTTGTTTGTTTGTTTGTTTTTCTTTTTTAAAGCTATTTTAAATGTTTTCTACTTTTAAATACTGCTTTAGAAACCTTTCTCTAAAGCTTTAGATATAGGAACGATTGATAGGAATTTACCATAAGGAAATCAAGAGGTCAGCTTTCCTGTTATTTTTAATCTATTATTTCTTCATGTATTTCAACTTTAATATTTCTTTTTTTCTTTTTTTTTGGTTTTTCGAGACAGGGTTTCTCTGTGGTTTTGGAGCCTGTCCTGGAACTAGCTCTTGTAGACCAGGCTGGTCTCGAATTCACAGAGATCCGCCTGCCTCTGCCTCCCAAGTGCTGGGATTATAGGCGTGCGCCACCACCGCCTGGCAACTTTAAGATTTCTTAAACAGTGAAGCAAAGTGAAATCTTTTGTCATTGAACAATACTGTTGCACATTTGTCATTTGGAAGACTACAGACCATTTCTGAAAAGTAACCTGCCAATTTCTTGTATATTAATTAATGTGTATTTTTTTCTGTTTTTAAAAATAATGCCACTGTATTTGAAGATAAATTGCATGATATCTAGCATTTAATTTTTGTTCTAAAAATTAAAAATCAGTTTCATTCACTCTGATATTCAGTTAATGTATATATATGAATGTTACCTTGATGGAAGAAATAGTTTCCTTTTAAGATAGATATCTCTATTATATAAAAAGAACCATTTGATTCTAGTCAGATAATTTTATGTATTAATTACCAAAAGTAATATAATCTTTATATATAGCTTTTACCAATCTGAAGCTAACCTGGGCTGCATAGCAAGTTTTGGCCAGCCTAGGCTACATAATAAGAACTTCACCAAAAAAAAAAAGTAACAAAATAACAACAAAACAAAAATAAATAAATAAACCACCTCAGAACTCTGTGATTTAGTTTTGTTTCTTTTGGGGGGTGTTAAGCATTTAAAATATTAAACAATTATACTTTGGATTTAGCTATCTTTTCTTCAGTCCCAAAGCCTCCTAAACGCAGGCAGAAACGCAAAGGTAACTCCACCTGGTGTAGTGTAGCCTGCCCTGTCCCAAGCCTGCCCTTCCTGTAGGAAAGCCATTCCCTGGATGTTTAGAAAATGGAGCCGTAGGCTGTGTCTTCTGCCTGTCATTAGCTGTTAACTCTGTTCTATGTCCTTATCCCTTATGTACTTTATTCTCTCTCCTTTTCCCTGTTGACGTCTCTGTAGTTTGTGGTGAGAATTACAGTGTGTATTTTCACGTGTGCTTTGGCTCTTTTTTAATTCCTTTTCCGTCAGACAAGCTCCATTCTTTTCCTCAGTGTCTCTTTATCCCAAGCTAGGAGGAGTCTGAATATTTCAGGGCATAATTAATTTTATGTCTGTATAGAAATTCCTAAGTGCAAGTAAACTTTTCTGATTTATAAGGAATGATGTTTTTAATCTGTTGTGTGGAACTTGTCTCATGCAGGAGTCCTACGAGTGTTATTTTATGTGATATTCGGTTATACCTAGTTATTACCTTTTTTTCTGTGTAGTAGCTTTCTGCTGTTGATTTTTTTAAATTATGAGCAGTTAAAAACAATAAAACAAAAGTAAAAGCAAAATATAGTACTGGAGAGATGGCTCACAGGTTAAGAGCACTGACTGCTCTTCCAGAGGTCCTGAGTTCAATTCCCAGCAACCACCTAGTGACCCACAACCATCTCTAATAAAATCTGGTGCCCTCTTCTGGTATGCAGGTGTATATGCAGGCAGAACACTATATACATAATAAATAAATCTTTTTTTAAAAGCAAAATTTATTTAGTGTGTTGGCTAGCATGCACCACCCACAACCACTATAATATTAGCTCCATTTATCATATTTTGTGCCTAGCATTGAGAACACTGTGTTTCTATTCCTACTTAATCCTTACACTAGCTTAATGAAGAATGTAGCATTTTCTTCTCTATGCATGAGAAGTGAGGTTGATAATAAGTAATTTGATTAAATGACACACTAAGTTTAGCTGTCTCTATGCTCTTTTAAATACTTAATAATTTATTTGATTTCACAATTTTCAATGAGATCAAAGATTTCGCATGCATTCAGAATAATTGATGTCAGCTGTGAGCAATAATCAACATCTTTCTTTTATTTGAGTCATGTAACTATGAGACTAACCCATGTACCACTCCAAGACCTGACAGCAAGGGATATAGCTCAGTGGTAAAGCATTTGACTACAAAGTGATGGAGATCGCATTTTTATTTCCCTGTTTATTGAGAGAATGAGAAAATGAAAATACTAAGACATTAGCAGAAGGCCGGATGTGGTGTCATATGATAGTAATCCTAGCACCCATGTCAGGTGTGCTAGTTTGGATTGCTTCTTAACTGATCAGGCCTACTACTGCATGTTAGGCATTGAAGGAGGTGATACTGGGAAGGTTCTGATTTTCATAAAGCAAGGTTTCAGTATTTCCTTTTTAAGTATGGTTTCTCTTGAACCACAAAGCACAGGTGGTTGAAGGACTTTGTTAATATTATAAATGTAGGGCAGAAGTTTAAATCATTGTAGGTTCTAGTATGACAACCAGTGGGGCTCTTGTAAAATTTCTTAAAGGGGATGATTAGGATGTGGAATGAAATCACAGTGCATGATTGCTAAATTCTGAAGTAACTGTGTGCTTACTGGTGCTCTAAACAAAGGCTTCCCTAATGAGACTACTTATGAAGGAGTCTTGACATTACTCTCATTGGGTAATTAGACAGTCAACCCAATGTGTGCAGCCTCTTCCATATCTATCTCTCTTATACATACATCATAATTATGTATTTGTAGTGACACAGAAATCTTAGGGAGTTATGCATTGGACAGTAGGCTTATACGGCTGTTTATAAGTCATAAGTAGGATGGAAAGTTCTGTACTTCAGAAACAGTTCTACTAGGCACCTTAGGAAGACACAGTAGAAGGTTATCCCTGTACTTCTGTAATGATGAATTAGAAGTTAGAGATACTAACTTGACATTCAGAAGAGAAGCGATGGTGCTGAGTCCTGGGGAGCTTCACTGGTATTTGTAGAGTGTCTCCGGGGTGCCTGCTATAGCCCAGAGTGTTATTGACCAAGGAGATCCCTTGATGAGAGTAGAACAGGGCCCACTTTGGCTGTTGTTACTATTTGTAAGTGTCATCTGCAGCACAGAGCAAGCATTGTGAGCTGTGCTTTCCACACCCTCTCCCTTGTGAAGTTTGAAGAGAGAGAGGCAAAGAAGAGCACTCACCTGGTTCTGGAAGTCAGAGAGGGACTGTGTTCTGCAGGACCGACGTGTTCAGATCAATAGGCAACTGTTTCATAGTGTTTTCTTGAGAATGAGCACTTACAAAAAGCTACAATGTCACAGTGTCTGATAGTTGTCCTGATCCATTCCATCAGGGGTTGGATAAGCCTCTAATTCTGTGCACTGGGATGCATGCTGCTCTTTCCTTTCTCCTTATAAACTGTGGTTATTAGCTATTTTCGTATCCTGTACTTTGCTATCAGTGCTTAAAAGAAACATACGAAGGTCCATAGTTATGTGAAAAACTTTCAACCTTATATCTATAATCATGATAAAGAAATAACACCAGAGCAAGATGCCATCCTATCACCTCTTAGGTTTGCTTCTACCACAGAAGTAAAAGATGACAAGTATCAAAAGTGCCCAGAAATGAGCCTTTATACATTGATGGCTCGCATGATTTGTGATACTGTAAATTATTATAACCACTTTGGAAAACACAATTGAGATTTATTTTCTCATAGTACTGAAAATATAACTACCAAATAGTATCTCAGTTCCACTTGTGAGCACTCCCGGAGTAATTGAAATCAGTGTTTGAGATGTCTCCACACATGTTCCCTGCAGCATTGAGTACTCACAAACGTACAGAAACAGCTGAGGTGCCAGCAGCCTGACAGTGATGTCCATTCACAGTGCAGTACAACTGAAAAACAGTTTTCACATCTGTATCAGCATGGGTGAATCTAGGGGACATTTGGGGGGCATGACAAATACTATATGACTACCTCCAGCCAGGCGGCAAAATTGAATTCTGATGTTTTACTGCACAACAAGGTGACTATCATTAGAAACTTCATTTATTTCAGATTAGCTAAAAGAGGACTTAAGGCTGGCAAAATGGCTCAGCAGGTAATTGCACTTGCTGCCAAGCCTGATGACCTGAGTCCCTTATGCAGAATGTACACGGTAGAAGGACAGAACTGGTTCTTTTAAGTTGTGCTCTGACCTCCTTATGTGCACCACAGTATAGGTATTGGCACATAGGCGCACACACAATACAAAACAATTTTAAAATTAAAAGTGTTCTTACTACAAAGCGATGGTATGTTTTTAAGGATGGTTGTGCTGATCAACCTTTGATCATTCCACATTGTATGCAGGCCCAACATTGTACTGCACCCTAGGAATGAACAAAAGCAATTACTTTGCAATTTAAGTAAAATAGGTTGAAAGTTGAGAACACACTGCTTTAAATGTTTAGAAAGAACATAAACCCCAAATTCAGCTTTCTACGTTTTCTTGCAGTTTTAAATATTTATGTATCTAAAATGCAGCATAACATTTCTGACTAACAAATAATAGAAGAAAACTATTTTTATTTCAGATGAAGATCGTCTTTCTAGAAGGAAAAGTATTGTGGATACTGTATCTCTTCAGGTGGACATTTTATCCAACAGTGTGCCTTCTGATGATGTGGTAAGTTGCTGGAAGCTTATGATGGAGAACTGTTTTAAAGTAGCCATTATTTTTTAAAAAAGTTTCACTATGCCTATAAATGGAAAAAACTACAAATCTAAGTTACTTTCAAGTCAATTAGATTACTAGTAGAAATTAATATGATTTAATTTTTGTGAATTCATTTCAACTGTCTGTCAAGATGCATAATACTAATATCTTATTAGAATTTTGCATTGGAATTCTGTGTGACAGAAAGACTATCAAACAGAAGCAAAGTTGTTTGTTTTGTTTTACTTTAAGTATGATATGTTACGCATGACCTCTTCAGTTCTTTAAATCCTGTTTATTTTATTTTAAATTATGAAGTATAAAGTACAAAAGCAGATGGATCTATGCACTTCCACGAGGCCATATCCTCTCCTCAAAAGTTCCTGTGTAAGGAAATATTGCCACTTTGATCACTAGCTATTATGAATATGACTTAAGCTGTCTCAGTGAACTATTCAAGGACTGTGGCTGCTCACACAGTCCTGCCCTTGATGTTTTCCTCCTGCTTCAGGAGAGCACAGGAGAGTACTCTGCTGAGTCATAGAAAGAAACATCAGCCAGTACTCTCAGCGTTTGAGTCTCACAAAGGAGTTTTGATAGCCATCTAAAAGTGATAAATGCTAGCCTGCCAACTCAGCTTCCTCTTCGTGATACATAGGTTGTTTTCCTGCCCAGCTATTTCATTATTGCTCATAGATACAATATAAATAATTAAAGGACTATCCGATCAAGAAATAGCAAATTGAGTTGTCTGAATTCATGTTCTCTCATTCCCTTAGCTTCTAACGCTTTTCAGTTCATTTGTAATTTCTTAGTGTTCAGGGAACAAGCAACTTAGACTTTCTTTGCTATTCAACTCCATTATACAGAATTCTTTGATCTTATGGATCACTTGCTAGTGGAGCTCAAGAGCATTGAAGAGGGATCGGGAGGTAGCTTAGTGGGTGAGGTGCTTATGCAAGCAGGAGGACATACCTTCTGGATCCCCAGCACCTACATAAAAAGCCAGGTGCTAAGATGTGGAGATCCTGAAGGCTCTTGACAGTCTAGCCCAGGGGAAACGTAAAGTTCAGTGAGGAGACCTTATCTCCTGGACCACAAGAGATGGCTAAGTGAATAAAACCAGGTATATATAAAGAATGCAGTTGGGTTCTCTGGTATCTCATAAAAGACAATAGATGTGGCATCCACCTGTAATTCCAGCATTTAGAAGGTGGAGACAGGATTTCTAGGGCAAGTTTGCTAACTCGAATTGATGAAATCAGGATTTACCAAGAGACCCTATTATATAAGGTGGAAAGTGACCAAGGAAGATAGCTGACATCGACTTTGGGCTTCCACACCTGCACACTTAGGGAATTCTGCATACACATGTGCACACATAAATATGCAGAAAAAAAGGGTAGTGCTGTTCTGATGGAAACTTGCCTGGGACACCAAGGGAATGAAAGAAGGATAGATGATATACAGAAAAGTTGGAATTGGGTAGGCTGTGTACTCACTAATAGAGTGGTACTAATATCAACTAGGCAACAACCCAGAACCTCAGCCATCAGCTAGGGGAGCATTCTCAAATTGTGGTCCTCTAGAGGAAAGAAGCTGCAGTGTTTGCACACACTGCCAGTTCCTGATTCTGACCCAAAGAAGGCCAGTTCCCTGGGGTCTGAGGCATTGGTCCTTGTAAGTACTATACAATCACTCAGGACTTCATCCATTCCTTACATATGCACTCAAGGCTTCCTCTGCTCCTCCACACTGAAGGTAGATAGAGGAGCAATTGAGAAAGACATCCCAGTATCAACTTTTGGCCTGTACTCTCCATCCATACGCACACAGAATTACTTGAAAAGGTTAAAACTATCTTCCCCAAATCCACCTCATTCTTCAAAGCCTCTTTAGTATATACACTTCTTATTTGTAAAGAGAGTATCTTGCTAACTCTTTCAGTGAGTAGGATTTTAGTCTTGCTACCCTTTCAGTAAAGAAATTTGCTGAGAGCCTTGGCTTCTAGGCTTAATTTTAATCAAGAATACAGGATGTTTTAATGTTGTGATTTTTATAGGTCTTTTTGCTTATTTTTTGTTTTAAAATTAATGTGTTTGATACTTGAGACTGTTGTAAAGAATCAGTCTGTGTTGTTGAGGTTTCTGTCCTGCCTGGTTTCTGTCCTCCCACCAGGTCCCACAGCCGTTTAGCCCCAGAGAAATCACACAAAGGTCTATATTAATGATAAACTGATTGGCCCATTAGCTCAAGCTTCTTATTAACTCTTATAACTTATTTTAGCCCATTATTCTAGTATATGTTAGCCACATGACGCGGTACCTTTTACAGTGGAGCAGGTCATATCTTCCTTCTTCCCTGTCTGGACAGGACTGGGGAGGAATGGGTTTCCTCCTTCCTAGAATTCTCCTGTCTGGTTGTCCCACCTATACTTCCTGCCTGGCTACTGGCCAGTCAGCATTTACTTAAAACATAATTGACAGAATATAGACAATTGTCCCACACCAAGTCTGTTATAAAGTAAACTGAAAAATATATACACAAAGACACTATAAAGATTCTCAAAGTTCATTAATACATTAGATTCTCAAAGGCAGTGTGCTATAAGCCTGTCACATACATCACACACTGGATGTTTGATAAGTACAATTTAATATCATATTTAGTTGAGCACATTTGAGTTTCAAACTCACTGGAATATACTTTTGTATATTAGTTGTTCAGATGCCAAAAGATAGAACAGAATTGCCTTATAGACAAAACTAAGTGTATATAGCGAGGGCAGGAAAAATCCATATACGTTAGCTATTTTCCAGTTACTGTTAAATATTTATTTCAGCATTCATCATAAAAGTTATTATAGCAAGAATACCTGCATTATAACTTTTCTCATATTCTCTGTCCTGTATTATATATTTTTGTTGTTGTTGTTGTTGTTAAATATGAAGCTATTTATCCCAGTCTAAGAACAGTGAGTCTTGTTTACTTTGTTAAAATGCTAGTGCTAGATTGCTCATAGGTGCAAATGACTAGCCAGAGCCTAATCTTGTATATCTGCTCCAAATATCTAGAATGCAACTGAAGATTCCAAAGTTTAATCTGACTTCAACTAGAAATGTGACCCTCGATAGCAAAGCTGAGGTAGCGGACTCTTGCTGCTTGACTTCCAGCTAAAGCCTTTGTTAAGAGACGCTAAGGTGCAGAACATACAGTCTTGCTTTCGTTAGTCTTGCTGCCTTAGACTTAGCAAAAGACGCCCATGAGCTAAAATTAGGGATGACCAAAGTGCCAGGCAAGTACTCATGTATCCTATCATTGCTTAACTTTCATTCAGAGATACTATAGTAACCATTTATTACTCTGTAAAAATGTTTTCATGCCTCTTAAAGTACCACTGCCCAATTGTCCCAAAATGCTAATCTTTTAAAATCATAAAACATTTATTTTATAGCTTTGTACATATTTCAAAGCAAGAGATCTGAGAGACCCAGATAAAGGGTATTTATAGGAAATACAAAACTGGTGGTTAGCCTTAGAAAATCCAGAATATGGCTGCTTTAGGGTGAACACTTCTCAATATAGTAATTCCTTGAAATCTTCATTTGTTCTTTTGTGTGTGAATGTTTTGCCTGCATGTATACCTGGCACCAGAGGAGTGTCAGATCCCCTGGAACAAAAGTTAAGGACAAATATGTGCCACTACATGGGTGCTGGGATACTAACTCTGGCCCTCTGCAAGAACAGCAAATACTCTTAACCACTGAGCCATCTCTGAAGCCCATTCTTTTAACCATTTAAAATCTTAGTTATTTCATACTTGATTTGTATGCTATCTACAGTAATAAAATGATAAAGGAGCCGGGTGGTGGTGGCGCACGCCTTTAATCCCAGCACTCCTCGGGAGGCAGAGGCAGGCGGATCTCTGAGTTTGAGGCCAGCCTGGTCTACAAGAGCTAGTTCCAGGACAGGAACCAAAAGCTACAGAGAAACCCTGTCTCGAAAAATCCAAAAAAAAAAAGATAAAGGGTCTTTAATGGTTAGTTATTATTTACCACATAGCAAAAAAATATATTTGTAATCTCAGCCTTGATTGCTTCAAAGTGCCTTCCTCCTACCGAGCACTAATCAGTCACTGTATCATGTGGCACATCCATACCCTGGAGGCCGTGCCTCATCCAAGGGTGCAGAGGTGCTGCCTCCTCTGCCAGGCTAACACCCACCTATGTGCCAGTCAGGAAGCCACTGCAGGAGGCCATTGTTATGGCCAGGGAAGCAGTGCAGAGATTCTGCTGTTTGGAATATAATCTCAGCTCTAGCCAATAAAAAGGAGGAAAAAAATATTGGTGAAAATGTTTAGGTGATTTGTATATTGGTAAAAATATTAATTATATTCACTTTTCTTACTTTTTGTTCTCCTTACACTCTGTTTAGGTTAGCAACACTGAAGAAATTACGTTTGAAGCACTGAAGAAAGCAATTGGTGAGCTATGGAGAACTGTTTAGTTCTCCTAAAATCTCATCTTTACCTTGGTACTTTTTTAGTTGATAGAATAAGCAGATAAAGCATGAAAAGAAAGAAAAGGAAAAATATCATTGGTGTCTATATAAGTGGGTCATTTACTTAAATACATTGTTTATGCTTTTTAGATTGTCTCAGATGTATGTACACATAAACAAACATGGTGGTATAAACAAGGTAGACATTTGCTTTTTACTATCTAACAAACTTAGTCCAGACCATCATGGTCTTCAGTTAAAAAAAAAAATGCCTTTCTGTTAAAAGACTCTGAGACACATTGGCTCTAAACAACTCAGCTGTATTTTATTTTTTTATCCATTGGGATCTAGATGCAGTTTAACAAAATTTTAGTGCTTGTGTATGTACAAGGGCTGCAGCATAGTTAGACAAAAAAGTATTCAGAAAAGCCCTAGTAGTCTTTTGATTTCTGTTAAGTTGCTGTTCTCTCCTGTATATGTAGGTATGTATGTGTGTGCATGCGTTTTTGTACGTTTATGTATTATGTGTATATCTTTATCTATGTGTGTTTGTTGTGTATATGTATTTAGTAAAAGGCCAGAATTCTATAAAAGTAGGCATTTTGGTGTGGAACTTTAACTCTTAGATTTAAATTTTTTCCCCAAATATTTGTGTTATCTAGTATCAAGTGAAACATTTAAGGAATGTTGTGTACTTTGCCTTTTTCACTATAGAATTCACTCTTTAATCATTCTTATGTGGGGGACTATAGATCATTGGTTCCCGTGGCCTTTGGCATGATCTTATGACACTCTTTATCTAACTGGTCCTTACACAGATACCAATGGAATGGAAGAACAGGAAAAGGAAAAGAGACGTCTTGTGATAGAGAAGTTCCAGAAAGCACCTTTTGAAGAAATAGCAGCACAGTGTGAATCCAAAGTGAGTGAGTTGATGGACAGTGGGTGGGGAATGACATTTTGGAGCTTATTCTGCCTACTGGCTTTAGGCATATTGTGACTCCAGCCTCTGACAGCAGAGCTATTGCCTAAAGAATTTCTTTATATGATGATGATGATGGTGGTGATGGAAATAGCAGATCCTGAGCTGGGTGAATGACAGTCATTGCTTTGGTGTTTTGTTCTGTTTTGGTTTGTTTGTATCGAATGGTTTTTGATAATTTTACTGTGGATATTTTTTGTGTTTCAACTTTCAACTTGTGACTATAGAACTTGAAAAGGGTGAGTGTGGGGAGAAGACCTACATTAAAGTCCAACAGATACTGCAGATTAGAGTATCCAAACAGTCTCATGTCAGCCTCATAGTTACAGTTGTGCTTCATATATGGGTGGCTGGCAAACAAGAAATTCTTACCATTCGTTATTCTCCTTTGCAGGCAAACTTGCTTCATGATAGACTTGCTCAAATACTGGAGCTCACCATACGGTAAGGGCTTTGTCAGCACAGAAGTAGTAACACAGAAACTAGAAGCTGTGCGTGGCTGTGCATGTTTAATAACTGCTTTGCACTGAGCATAAAGAAGATCTGACTGGCAACCCTTTGTCTCAGTCCTCCTCTGTTTGGAGTCTGAACAGTCTCTTGTCCAGTTATCTCCTGGCATTTCTAGCTTTCTCTGAAACCATCTCTTCCTTCGTGCTGGCCTGATGCGTAACTAGGAATTCTAATGTTATGTTTAACTGGAGATCATTCATATTTAACTATTTTCACACACTCCATCTACAGTTTGCTATGCTTCCATCCAGAGCAGTTCACTGCTACTGGGATAGATCCTTCGCTTTCCTTAAGCTTTCCCATATACTATCTAGTTACTATGAGAATTTTATTCCAGAGTATACAGTATCTCACTGCTGTCCGTCATTCTGAGTTTGTCTCTCCTTAAGTAATTCAGCCTAAGAAGGACGAAGGCTCTCTTAAGCCCTCTGTACAGGAGGAGCTGCCACAAGGTCTCCCTCCCACTGACATCAGTGTGGAAATTGGCCCAGTAGAGGACACACACACACACACAGAGCCTTGCTTCTGAAATTTTGTTTTCTCCTTCAGCTAAATCCTTTATCTTTTAACTTGACTAATTCTCTTTTTTTTTCTTCAAGTTTATATCTTAAATGATTAAAAGAGACTGTTAGCCATTCTTGTCTACTTGACTTGTTTTTATTCTACTTTGTCTTCCACTATCATATGTAAGACACTTTTTTAAAATCAGTTTCACTTTTTATTCTGGACGTTTTCTCACCACTTTACTATTTCAAAGGAGAGAATTGTTCATTTCAGAAAAGGACTAAATTATAAAATGTATTAGAGATTTCCTTTTCAGAAAAAAACTACCAAATACAGAGCTTTAACTCTGTTAGTTAAAATTCCAGATACCTGCTATGTACTTGGCCTTAGGCTATATACTTTATATCAGTTATTTCTTCTCTCAACCCAGAAAAGTAAGTACATGCTGTCTCTGAGTTTCCAAGTAAAGACACCAGAGCCTAGAGAAGGAACATAATTTGCTGAAGGTCTTGTACTTAGAGACAGACAATTAAAACATATAGTCTGCATTCTCAAGTAGAGTGATGCTGTGACCAACACTCTTACAACACTGTTACATCCGCACATTTGTATGGGTTTAAAAGTTTAAGAACAGCATTATATTTTTATCCTTTGGTACCATGACTTTGTCTAGTATTGGCTTTGTCTGGATTGGACTTAACAGTTGGTGGCAGTTAATACTTAGCAACACTTAGAGTGTCCCAGAGTGTTTCAGTAGGAGTCCATCCACAGATGCCTCTTTGGAAGAAGTTCTGGGACAGCTTGTATGATACAGAGGGGCTAACGGCATGTCGCACTGTGGGTTTTCAGGCCTATCTGCACATTTTCTCCTGTTTATCTGATCAGCCAGAGAAGAGACTTTGTGCTATACAAAAGAGTATCTTATACCTCAGTCTCTGTTTTTTTTTTTTATTCACCACGGCTTGGGTACAGAAGAGAAAAAAAGGAGAAATGCAAAGCAACTGTAAAATGAATGCAGCAGCAGACACAGCCAGTTACTGCACCCTGTACGAAGGGCGTCAGAGATTCCTGGAGAGTGCCTGTGTTGGAGTAGATACACACTGGCTCCCACCCTGCTTCCTGCCTGTGTTGGAGTAGATACACACTGGCTCCCACCCTGCTTCCTGCCTGTGTTGGAGTAGAGACACACTGGCTCCCGCCCTGCTTCCTGCTTGTGTTGGAGTAGATACACACTGGCTCCCACCCTGCTTCCTGCCTGTGTTGCAGTAGATACACACTGGCTCCCACCCTGCTTCCTGCTTGTGTTGGAGTAGATACACACTGGCTCCTACCCTGTCTCCTGCCTGTGTTGCAGTAGATACACACTGGCTCCTACCCTGTCTCCTGCCTGTGTTGGAGTAGAGACACACTGGCTCCCACCCTGTCTCCTGCCTGTGTTGGAGTAGAGACACACTGGCTCCTACCCTGTCTCCTGCCTGTGTTGGAGTAGAGACACACTGGCTCCCACCCTGTCTCCTGCCTGTGTTGGAGTAGAGACACACTGGCTCCTACCCTGTCTCCTGCCTGTGTTGGAGTAGAGACACACTGGCTCCCACCCTGTCTCCTGCCTGTGTTGGAGTAGAGACACACTGGCTCCCACCCTGTCTCCTGCCTGTGTTGGAGTAGAGACACACTGGCTCCTACCCTGTCTCCTACCTGTGTTGGAGTAGAGACACACTGGCTCCTACCCTGTCTCCTGCCTGTGTTTACTGGGATCTTGCTGTACTGTTCTCTTTATACTCTCATCACTATAAACTTTAACATTCTTAGTCAAGTATTAAAGCATAATAATCAAGAAAATACAAATGCAAATATTTGCAAAGCACAATATAGAAGATTGAAATAGTGTCAGTAGCTTTAATACTGGAACAGTTGCAAGATTATTTTTTAGCTGTATAATGTAGTTGATAGCAATTCAAAATTGAAGTTGATTATATGAGACTAATTCTTGTACATATTATTAATTAGTGAAAGTACCCATAACCATGGAATACTAATTAACACAGATTAAGAAATAACTTTATATCTGAGATATACTTATTTATATAAGAAAAAATCATACCTTCTTTTAACATTTACTTAATTTTGTATATATATGGCATATGTGGCAGGGGGGCAGTTCAGTGTCGGCTCTCTTTCAGGTGTTGGTATCTCCTACCATGTAGGATCTCAAGTTTGAACTCAGGTCATCAAGCTTTAAAGACAAATACCTTTTCCCACCAAGCCATTTGCCTGCTACATACCTTATTCTTGAATAGTAAATGAGTATTATAAAGGCATAAGCTCTTTACAAATCAACCCATAGAAACCTTTGCAGAATGTAGTCATTATTTTACATTTAAAGAAAATGTTACAGGCAGTCTGGAAAAATCCTTATGCAAGAGGGGGAAGGAAAATGCAGTAGGAGAATGAACAAGGCCCTACCTACGCCAAGAAAGATGTGGTAGATCTTTGCTTGGGTTTTTTGTTTTTATTGTTTTGTTTTGGCTCTTTTGAGACATATTCTTCCTGTAGCATCCAGTTATTGTTGCTCACAGAGAGCCACTTGCCTCTGCCTCCCAAGTGCTGGGATTAAAAGTTTTCACCATAAAGCCTGGCCTTTCTGGCATTCTGAACAGTTTGAGTTTGTATAGAAGTAAGTAAAATACAGGAAAATTGAAGTGTGTAGTGTTTATGAGAAAGATAAAGTTTTAGGTTTTCAAGGAAAAGAACAGTTGTTGAGTTTCTTATATGTAGGCCAAAGATGACATGCCAGTGAGGGCAGGCAGAGCATTCCTCCTCCACCTCTAAGAGAAAGGCAGTCTTTCTTTTATAGGGTAGTAGACAGCAGATGTGTTCAGAGGTGTGTCTGTATGTGTACATGCGCATGAGTGTGATCTTTGTTAGCTAAGAGTTGATCATTAAATAATGGATTATTAAAGTATTTGCCCTATGTGACAAAAGTGGATTAATGAGTTTATTTATTTAAAGAAACCAGAATGGATGGCACAGAGATGTGTATCACTAACAGTAGCTCAGAAATTAAAAACAATAATGGGAACGGGTTCCTTCTTGCCTCCAGGTTAGCAAGCACTGCTTCCATCCCTTAAACCACCATAAATTTAAAATATTGTCACTGTCCATACTAAGAGTAAAATTGTGAACTTTTACTTATAAGTCTCTAGACCAAGAATATATATAAAAATAGACTAGTGAGCATGATGAATAATAATGAAAATGAATCTATATTTGTCTAGGAGATAAAATATTTCTATAGGACAGAATACCACACTACCATAAGAGTGATATGTGTGAAAAAGCAGGGGTTTTTTTTAACTTGTGAATCAAAATAGCCCATAAAAATGCACAGTATAATAACACTATAAAAATTACACATACACACATAAACAAAGTTTGTTTTGGACTTGAAATAGCCAGAATCCCTCTTTTGCCTATACTGTGTCATCAGTGGCCATCGCCTCCCCTACATCAAGCCCTTCCATTAAGCAACTTTATTTGGCTGTTTGCGGGCAATGGTTGAATATTGTAAATGCACCTGCTGATCCACCATGTTCTTCTTTTACAGCCCTCCTCCCAGTCCATCTGGAACACTGACCATTACTTCTGGGCATGCCCAATACCAGTCCGTTCCAGTCTATGAGATGAAGTTTCCAGATCTGTGTGTGTATTGACTGACTCAATGAAGACTACAGCATTTAAAAGAATCTTAAAGCCTGAAACACAAGGCCAAGACAGTTTTCAGGATTTGCATAACGCTTACTGACGTGTCCTGAAATGTGGTGGCATTTATCTCTGACCATACACATGTCATTCTGTGTCAATTGTGAGTACTTCTGAAGGTAGACTTATGCCACGTTAATTTGTTTTGAGGTTCCTGTTAGTGCTTAAGATTGAACATGTATTGCTTTCACGTTATGCCGTTGTTAAATAGTATGTTTTAAACTTTGCACAAACATGATTTAAAAAAAAAAAAGATTGAAACTGTATGAAGTGTCTGCTGATTTCTTAAGCATCTTCACAACCACTTGCTTTTGCCTTGTTTTCTTCCCGAGTAAATTTCTTCCTAATTCTAGGGTTGCAAATGCTTTCATGCTTTCTAAATCCATGCTTCAGAGGGCTGTGTAGCCCTCTCCCTTCAGTCCTCAGTAGTAAATGTGGCAGGTATTTCTACGGTAGCAGCGGTAGGGAAATCTCCTGAATACTGGCCAGGCCTTACTGGTCTTGGAATACTGTGTTTTCTGCTTCAAGATGAGCCCTTGAGCCCCTTAGAGCTCATTCTTGGAGCACCAAAAGGTGCAGTGTTTTCCACATATGATGTGTTAGTTTACAGACTGCGCTTTGAAACTATAGTTGTATTTTGCTGTGATGCCATTAATTAAATGAAATATATATATTTACTATAGAAAAGAAAGAAATTTAAAACAGCTGTTCACCTGTGCAGAGCCTATACATTTCAGTTTCTTTTAAATGAATGAATTCTCATTTTTATATTGTACATTATGTAGGTTTTCATAGTAAAATATTTCCCCAGTGAACCTTTTAATTTGTAAGATTTGAACCAAAACTTGTGTGCGTCTCTATTGAAGGTGAGTGCATGTGTTCTTGCTAAGGTCTGTGAGTGTGAGACTGACAGGGCAGTGTGTGCTACACATGCTACTGAACACCACCACATGATGAAAAAGTAAGCCTTCTGCAGTTAGAAATTTCTCTTAGCACAGTTTTTAAGATCATTTCGTGTAAGTCTACTTTTTCATGTTCAGTTTCTTTTTACATAAAACAGTATTCCTATCAAAAATTATAGCCCAAAAATAATTTGTCTTTAGTTCAGTTTTGTTTTTAATGAAATGAAAAACTGGATGTTTTAAATGTGTGTTTGTGGTTATTTGGGCACCATTCTTACAGACAGGAATAAACAAGAAAAGGAAATGAACTTAGAATGTCACACCCAAAATTTTCACTATTTACAGCAGAGTACAATATCTTGGAGATGGGTCCATTTGCTCAAACCTCTGACAGAGCAGTCCAGGCTGCTGCTAAGGGCAGACTCACCAGACCTTGTCCTCAGAGGGACAGTGGAGCTGCCACTGGAGTAGCAGAGCCCTGGTCCAGCTGTCACTTCATGGTGGATTCCTCTTACACTTGTGGAGCCTGTCACCAGTTAATATTAAGCTTCGTGCATTTTTGTTTCCCTTTTTTCTTCTGTATTTTAAAAGAAGGCTATTATTTTTGACATTTTATTATTTAGATTTTATTATTTTAAAATCTAAACAGGGGGACATGCAAAAACAATCATCATCCACTTGGATGTCATTTTATAAATTAACACTGTGTGCTTTTGTATGGAAAATATATAATTTAATAGTATAAGAAAAAGATATATATTCACTTGCATTCATGCAAAACACAAGCTTTGCTGTATAAAGTTTTGCATTTCATAGTGATTTTAAAAAGGCATGCTTTGCATGTAAAGGAAAACCATTGCAGTCTTTTGTTTTGATTTTTAATCATACCTCTTTCTTGGTTTTTGTAAGCTGCTGGTTTGGGTTTTGCTACTCTTAAACCACAGTACACTTCTGGATCTAGTAGGTCCAGTAGACTAAACTGGTCTTGTTGACGAGGGTTCCCAAAACATCCCAATGGATGTTTCTCTGTCTCACTCTTCTACATTTGCAGGGATTGCTCTTAGGCAAGTGTGCAAGCTGTGCTGCAGCTAGTTCAGGAACTGAATCTTTAGGACTTGCTAAGCTCTATATTGGTATATTTTGTCAGGTACGTTATACTCAAATTGTTTATTATCTTTCTTGTCATATACAGCTGGTTATATTCTGTGTGACACTGAATAGTTCATTTAAATGTCCCTCCTATGCTTATGATGTCTGTGGCTGCTTATATAGTTTCACTGAACTTTACCTGATCTTTCATAGTCTTTCTCTCTCATGTTCTCTTTCCCTCCCCCAACCCTCCTTTAGAACTCATTATCCTTTAGAATAAAGCCACCTTCAACCAACAGTTTAGCTCCCCACTCCCACAAATGGAGCTCATTTGTCTCACTAATGCTGATACATGTGTTGATGTGATTAAGTCAGTTTTTTAAATGTAAAATTTCATTGTGCAATCAAATGTAAGCAATAAAACAAAAGTTGCATCTCTTGTGCATAAGCGCATTTTTATTATAGCATTACATATATGGAATTAAGCTTCTTCAACATTGGACTTGGAAAAAGTCAAGGTGCTGGGAAGATTCTTCGCCACGTATATGAGAGTCATCAGAACCATAGCTTACTAGTATGAAGGTTAAGCCTTCTGGGTGCTTCGCTTAGTTGCCATCAGACTTCTTTCCACCGCACCTCCTTGCTCTCTAAATTATACAGTCTCCCTTAAAAAATACAGCTGTTCTCTAGTACCTTATGCCACCCTGGCCTTACCCTATACCTGCAGAGCTGGGTGCTATAGCCAGCTGTAGTTCATGGGTTTCTTGGATTAGCCACTAGGATACAGTGATGAGGAACTTGGGTTCTGGTTCAGATCTAACCCAAGCTCCAGGCTAAGCAGTCATAGATAAGTGATTTATCAGTCATCTGTGGAATGAGAACAGTGGGAACTGCACTCAGAGCCTAGCTGAGAGGGCAAGTGAAGCACTGTCATCCCTGTGTTACAGAATAAGCCTCTGGCAAATATTAACAGCCATCCCTGGGGTCTGATGTTCCCTGAAACCACTTCCAAAAGTAATACCTGCAGAGAAGCCCTGCCACAGGCTGTGCCTTGGGGAAGCAGAGCCACTGCCTTCCTAATACAGCAATAGACTGCCTCTGTGTCTGCTGTGTACTTAGGACAGTCCTTTCACATCTCTGGCCGCGTTCCCACTGATAGACTGAGAGCACAATACAAATGCTGCCCCAGACTTTCCATTATGACTGATCCCGTCTTCTGACATCTAATATGAATTAGCGAAAAGCAGAGTCAGGTACAGAGATAAACATCTTTGTTGCGCTGTATTCAGCCCGTTAGCTTACACGTGAGCTAGAGACAGCATTGTGTCTAGGCTTCCCTGTGCCGTCCTGTGGCAAAGCCTATGTACAAGTGATTCCGGAGCACTCTGCAAGGGGATGGACAGTGAAATGGAAGATCAAAATCACTGGTGCCTGGAGAGATCTGCCCTTGACATTCTAGTCTCCACTTCAGAGCTCCCTGCTTATGACCTGAAAGTGGGGAAAGCTTTACCCTCTGATGGTTGTCCATGACCAAGAACGGCCCTCTAGCTTTTTCCAACACCCAGATACCGTGTTCATGAGCACTGGTCTCTTTGGAAAAGTCATGTAGAATTCAGGAAATGCAGAAATCAGATGTGAAGGCTCCACTTCCATGGTTGTTCCATGGAAGGAAGTGTAAGGGGGAATTAGAGGATATGAAGTCAGGCAAGGGCCTTAGTCATCTTTTTAAGAAAGGACCAGGGCCAGGGGTAGTGATGCGGTTTCTTGTGGCGGCTGTGCCGCATGACTGCTCTCCTAACACTGGTAGCAAGTGTGCCTGACCCACACAGAAGCAACGTGTCTTCATGAGTCATTGACAATCGCATGTAGTTAAACTCTTGAACGAAAGAGGAGGGAATTTGTAGATCTTATGAAGTAGAGCCCTTTCCTGCATTATTCCTGTCCTCTCACCTTTGCGAGCTGCTGCTCACCCATACATCTACAGAGCCAGTTCTTAAACACGACACGGGCCATAAGGCATGGAGACTTTATTGAGCTTCCCTAATGAACTACAGGAAGAAGCAAAGTGCTGCCATCTGCTTTCTCTCTCTGGCCACATTTGTTTGTGATCTGACAAGTTCCAGGAGGCTGATGAGTAAGGAGCTGACTGTGCCTGCTCCCTTGGAGCTTCTGCTAAGGCTCCTATGGACAGAAGACTGAGAGCCAAAGAGCTCATGCAGCTCACAGCTACTTGCTTGGAGCATCGCATCTTCCACCAAGTTGTCTTGTCCCCAAGTGACCAAGTGGTTTTGCCAGAAATCTGCTGCTTAGGCGCTCCATCTAGGCTGTGGCCTCCTCACTATTCTCCTCAGAACTGGAGCCGGCAGAAGAGGCCAAGGTTCCCCCGAGCATGCCATCCTCACAGGATACAGGTTTGCCCTGGCACTCTCGTAGGTCTGGCGACTTAAGGCTTTGATTAAAGGAGGCAGAGGCCATACACTCGGCTGCCATCTGGTCACAGGCACACAGTAGCTTCTCACAGAGGCTCTGCCCCACACCTTAGTAATAGCAGAGGAACAGATGTAAGACACCAGGGAGGGCACTTACAGCCACTTATCCATTCCTTTTTCCAGCCCGTCTTGCACAGCCCTTCTGGTGTCTGGAATGCACTGTTCCTAATGGTCTAGCCTATTCCTCTTGTTCCTAATGGTCTAGCCTATTCCTCTTGCTGGAAATTAGCCCTTTGTGTTTTTCATCTGAGGCTAGTCTCCAGATTTATCTTGCACCCCAATCACATTGTTTTTTAAGCTCTTAGGGACTCCATAATAACATAACACCCATGCCATCTCAAAATCTGAGATAACCTCCTCTCAGTCTCACCTCGCACCTCTCCTGACCTTCCCCCAATTCTCTGCTCTTCACTGCAGTCTCCAGCGTAAGAGTCCTCAACTAGCACCCCAAGACAAGTGGCACTGCCTGTCAGCGGTATTACATGACATCAGAGTGACCACTGCCTGTTTTTCTCCCTGGCTGTGAGCAATTTGATACAAGGATCACACACATTTGCTATAGTTTGAATCTTAAATGTCCCTCCTCACCACCACCAGAAGCTTGTTTTAAAGGTCTGGTCTGGTTTCCAGCTATGGGATTTAAGGTGATTAGATCCTGAAGTCAATTAATTAGTACACTGATAGATTTGTAATTTTGTGGTATTAGGAGGTGCTAAAAATAAGGTAGTGGGGCTAAACTAGAGGAAATAGGTGTGTGAGTATGTGGTGTGTGTACACAATCTGTAA